TCAAGCCGAAGCTGATGCATACGCCTTCAGCTCTATTGTCAACCGAGGACTGGGGATTCTACGTCGACTTGCCGAAAAATCAAAGCAAGTCGATAACGCCTCCCCTCTCAACATCCCATCCGGAATCCTTCCTAGAAAAGAGAGCCTGCTAGGTGCACTGCTCCTCCCCAACATCGACGGTGGTGTCGTTCGCCAGCTCCTCACATATGCTCGATTGGCGGAGTAAATGATATCTGTATGAACCTCTAATGCGCTGGTGACAGGTTAGTTTCGTAGCTAGTCCCGCCTGGGGGGAGTCGGATCCTCTCCCACTTAGCATATACGACAATCTTGATTTTCTCTCATGTCATTTGTACTCATGTCGACTGTCAGTCTTTCTATTCTTAACTTTTGGGCGCTGGTGGGTGATGGGGATTTTATTTTTTGTTCTCGTGAGATAGCGTTCTGTTCTGATTCGGTGTACAATGCTCAAAATACCCTCGACGCAAATCGAGAGATACTTGCATCATGACCAATTGACCATTGCTTCCATTTAAAGTCGTAAATATTAGCTTCATGGCTTAACACAGGTTCGTAGTTGGCGTCAGCCACATCAAAGCATTCAGCAGAAGACAGAAGAGGACACGCAAGCCTCCAATTCCGTCCGCTCGCCGAAGTGGTTTGGGATTTAGAGTCTTGAAAACGGATCTGCCAGTGGCCTACATTGGCATACTTTCCAATTGCCGGGGTATATATCCTGGGCATCGTTACAAGTTTCCAAGTTTCCTGAATGGATATGCATGTGGTCATTCCATGTAAAAGCACTAGCACCCATCGAGTCATCCAAAATGTACATATTGAAGTGTTACAGGTAGAGAGAAAAAGCAAGAGAACAAAAACAAAAAGCAGGTGCACGCCAGAAGACACGACCGGATAGATAAGACACAGAACACCAAAGGAAAAGAAAAAAAAATGAGAAGAAAAACCACCCGCAACGAGATTAAGGTATGCACTGAGGGAATAGGAGAGAGAGATCAAGGAAATAGATATTACCCATCCACATCAGGGACCACCGTGAGCGTTCGTTTCTTTCTTTCTCCTCCCTTGGATTGGACATGATTTGATTCTTGATCTCTCCGATAGGTATACTCTAGCATACCCCTCGCAATAGGGGTATGATAATGCTTTTTGGGGTGTGAATCTTGGGCCACTTGAAAGATTGCGATGCTTCGATCGCGGACATGTGAGATAAGATCTGAGGTATCAGAGAAGAAAGAATTTAGAATTTCCGCTCCTGGAGGAAGTTCACAATCTCGGGTTTGCGCCAGCCCTAATAAGACATATCAGTCTCTGTCGCGTGGTGATCAATTGCTCCGTAAAAGCGAACATACCTTGACAATGATGTGGCCAGTGAGTCGGTTGAGAGTAACATCCGGGTTAGGCTTGTTTCCGTCAACAACACCCAGGGCAGAAGCCAGGTCGTTGCGGAGAGCGTCCAGATCGCCTTCGGTCTTCTGGAGCTTGGTAAGTTGCTTGGTACCGCCGGCCTTTGTGACGACGTAGACAGGCAGCTGATTGGAGGCCGTGCGACGGACGAAATAGGGGAGATTGGTGAGGCGCAGGGTCCGGCTGGGGTTCTGGTCGGGTTTTGCTGGGGGTGAGGTCTCAGATGGGGCGGTGGATTGTTCTTTCAAGGCTTGCGCTTGACGGCCGAGATGAGCGAGGAAAGTGCGGCTTTGGCGGGTAGGGAGAGTAGGGAGAGAGTATTGAGGACGATCTGATATAAAGGGTTAGCCATGCGCTCTTTGCTCTGTCGAGGCGAAACCAACACGGCATATATGCGTGTGTATTATTTTTTTCATTCTCTCTTCTCTCTTGTTTGTTGGCTACAAAATATTGCAAGATCCGAGGGTTCGGGTTTGCTCTTGTAGATCCAAAGAAATCAAGAGATCAAAATGAAACTAAACAAAAAGTAACTTACGTGAAGCTTTCAAGCTTGCCTGAGGACATAATGTGGAAAATGAACTACATCTCTGAACGGAAGCCACGGACTGTGCAGGGTTGACGCGAAGAGTGGTGGTGGCCTGCTTTCGCATGGCCGAGGATGGGCCCGAGTGTAGAATAGACGCCATTTGTCGCGTTCTAAAGGTTCAAAAGAAAAGACCTGGTTAGAGAAGATGGGGATATCGGGGCAGAGGGCTGGGAAGATCGGAGAGCGACATCTGATGCTCCTCTGCTCAGATTTTCTGCCACCGCTTCTCAACACCCACTTCCAAAAAGGGTTTAGGGCCACCGACGCCCGCACAATCTGCAAATTCTCCATTGATCGCGGTTGGCCTTTGTTATCCCCCTCTAGACCTTTAAACCCCTTCTGCCATCTTTTGATATTCAATATGGCAGACAACGCCCCCCTACCGCTGAGAATTTGCTCAGCGGCGCTGCTGCTCACTCACCTAAGTCCGCCGAGGAGATCGCCTCCCAGCATGATTTGCTCCCCCGACTCATCCCGTACCTCGACCGTCACTTGGTCTTCCCCCTGCTCGAGTTCAGCGCTACCGGCGATGAGGAGGACAAGGAAATCACCCGGGCGAAGTACGAGCTCCTTAAGCACACCAACATGACCGACTACGTCGCCAACTTGTGGCAGGAGATCAACGATTCCGACACCATTCCCGAAGAGTTTGTGAAGAAGCGCGAGGAGGTTCTGGCCAAGCTACAGCACTACCAGGATCAGAGCGAGAAGATTACCGAATTGTTGCAGGATGAGGAGGTCGTGGGCAACCTGCGAAGCGACAAGGCCGCCAACTTGCGATTCCTCGAGGAGCAGCACGGTGTCACCAACGAGATGGTCAACTCTCTCCACGACTACGGACGGTTCCAGTACAGCTGCGGCAGCTATGGAAACGCCGCTGAGCTGCTTTACCAGTTCCGTGTTCTGTCCACCGACAACGACAAGGTTGCCGCCGCCACATGGGGTAAGCTCGCATCAGAGATCCTGACCACCAACTGGGAGGGTGCTATGGAGGAGGTCCAGAAGGTCAAGGACTCAATTGAGACTCGCCTGTTCAACAACCCCCTGGCTCAGCTCACCAACCGCTCTTGGCTTATTCACTGGTCGCTGTTCCCCTTCTTCAACCACGACCCCGCCCGCGACGTCCTCACCGACCTCTTCTTCTCCCCCGCCTACATCAACACCATTCAGACCAGCTGCCCTTGGGTTTTGCGGTACCTCGCCGCCGCTGTCATCACCAACCGCAGCCGCCCCCACAAGCACTCCGGTGTCTACCAGAAGCAATTGAAGGATCTGATCCGCGTTGTTCGCCAGGAGGACTACGAGTACACCGACCCCGTCACCGATTTCGTCAAGGCCCTTTACGTCGATTTCGATTTCGAGGAAGCACAGAAGAAGCTCGGCGAGGCAGAGGATGTGCTGCGCAGCGATTTCTTCCTTGTGTCGGCCGCCGATGCTTTCGTCGACGCTGCCCGCCACCTCATCTCCGAGAGCTACTGCAAGATCCACCAGCGTATTGACATCAAGTAAGTTGTTATATTGGGAAATTCGCACGAACTACAAACTAACGGGGTTTTCTTTTCTCTTTTTTTCTAGGGACCTTTCCACTCGCCTCGGTCTGAACCAGGATGAGGGTGAGAAGTGGATTGTCAACCTTATTCGCGATACCCGGGTTGACGCCAAGATCGATTACAAGGAGGGCACTGTTATCATGAACCACCCCCCTCAGTCTGTCTACCAGCAAGTCATCGAGAAGACCAAGGGTGCCTTCTTCCGCACACAAGTCTTGAGCTCGGCTGTTGCAAAATAAAAACATCCGCATGACCTTGATGTTGAAAACTGAACTTTTCTCTCTTATGTGATTTCCACCTTGTTTCTGCCTGCCTCATTTTTAGTGATCTCCCCGTGTAGGTCACAACACGGTTGTTTGGGGACTCCATGCAGAGTGGCATCCGGCTGGCGTTTTTTCGGGGGTCCACACTTATTTCTTTACCTCTTTAGTCTTGCAGTTCTTATGCACACACTCTCTCCCCATATTTTCTACTTCCTCTGTCGGATATTTTGCTTGACCTCTTTATGTATTGGCCATTTCTGACCCTGGAGGTTTGGAGAGAGGGGCCCCAAAAAGCAGCCAGAGAATCATGGCGCCCCCGTCAAATCTTTGGAGCGGGGAAAAAAAGATGAAAGATGGAGATATGATGTAGTAGACTCTTTGATCTTAGGGTCTGATTTATCTATGCTGTTACGAATGGTCTATAGAGATGAGTGAAAGATGATGTCTTTTTTGACAATACCCTTGTTCCAAAAGTATTCTTGTTCTTAAGTTAGGGCATTATCCATGCCCCGCTCTATTATTGATACCTCGTAACTACATGCTATGGCCATCGCGTTCAAAATATTCATTACATTCAGTATGTTAGCATTGAACCCATTTGATGTCCATCTTTGCCTCTTCTAGCCCCAGTGCATAACCTCTATCTAGTTCAAAGGATCAGTCCTCTTGTCTTCTTTCCCCCTCAGTCCGAAATATCAGCCTAGCATATAATTCGCTATGGACGAACAGCTCTAAATCCGGTATTCTTCAAATTTCGCGTTACAACACACTAAGAGATATTCAAGAGCACGAGAAATAAGAGAGCAGGGTATACCAGAGCGAGACAAAAGGCACATGTTCCTATCAGCTCAAAACAGGGCTACGCTATTGCCCACAAACGCCGTTTCCATCCCAGGACTGGGATTCCTTTCCTTCCACTGTTCCGTCCAGGGGCTTCTGTAATCCAAGGATTCCACCTGGGCAACAGTGTCAGGATTTAGATATCCATGTGGCCAATGTCTCTGTGCAATCCACGATATGCTCCGGGGCACGAAGAACAATTTAAAAAAATGCCAAATGGAGCTGTACTAGGCGGCCATACAGGAAAGTCCTGGCCGACGGAATCCTAGGACGGAGCCAAGGGCTGTAAAAGAAACACCGAGTCCAATGGATGGAAGCAAGGAAATGAAATTGGCTTCAACGACCGCCCCGTGAGTCTAGTTGCCTGCGTGATCCGGATTGATTAATAGGGATGATTTCATTGATGTATGGCTCAGATTGAATTGAGGAGTGGTCGCTGCTAGAGCTAGAAGTTGAGCCGCCGCTGGTGTTGTGCGCCATTCGGGTAGCTTCTTGCTTCTCGTACTCTCGGGACATTATCGCGAGATCATCAATTTGTTCCTATTTGAGGAGTTAGTAACCTGCAATTATTGTTTTCTTTTCTCTTTCTCTTTCTCTTTCTCTTTCTCTTTCTCTTTCTCTTTCTCTTTCTCTTTCTCTTTCTCTTTCTCCAACTTCAATTCATGTTTAAATAAAATGGGGAAACAGACCCGCGTAAGTGGGACACCATTGATGAGGTAACCTTCGCGTCCCTGCAATGGTATCTGGTTAGAATGGGCTATATAGAGCTCGTAGTGGAAAGCAATGGCAAGACATGCCTGGTAGGCAAAGGGTCTAACTGTTGCACTTGGTCCAAGAAAGTACTGGATATGGCCTAGGACAATGTGTCGGGATAGCCCGTATCCCGGAAGCCAGTACTGCTGGACACGCGACATTTTCAAGGCTGAGAGGTGAGGCGTTGAAGTGAGGCGAAAGAAGAGCTAGGGTCTGATGTCAATCGACGCCGACACAAACGGCCCGTGCCTGGAAGCTCTTTTTGGGACTTTTGGCAGATCTCCGAAGGACGAAGCATCCTGTATAAATAGGGTAGTTGATACCCTGGCTCATTAAATAAGAATCCCACCAGAAACGGAGACGGATAAGGCAGGTCTCTATCGGACATGTACTAATCTCCAAGCCCGATCCTTCGGAGGTATATGGTCTCACAACATGTCAATGGCATGGCACAGGGGACCGCGTACCCCCCTCGTCGAAGAGCATGATCCACAGGGTCGCTGCACATAATCCGTAGACAAATGAAACCAACCAGTTTCCCACAAATCCGGTAACTCTCAAGCGAGTCTCCACGGAAAACGGCAGGAAAGAAGAAAGCGAACTAGTGGGAAAGCCAACAGAAACGGCCCAGATCCGGTGTCTTCACCGTCGAGAGGAAGGTTCATGGCGGAACGTTCGGGGGCTTGAGGACAAGAGAATCACCCGCCTCACTTTGTCAGCCAACGAGGCCCAACCCTTTTTTTTTCCCCTTTGTCGTATGTCAATTTGCAGCTTCTAGCCGTCAAAATGGAACGGGAGCCTTGTTTGCCCGCTTTTTTGACCTTTTACCACCAAGGGCCTGGTCTTGGACAAAAGTGAGGCTTGCATGGAGGAGCCTCGGCCTCGAATCAATCCCAGGGCGCATGGAATTGGAGTATTTGGAAATGAAAGCGAATGGGTTCTAACACTCCTTTTCCCTCACCGCAGATTCTCAAACCAATGCAGCGCCAAATTGGCTCTTCCTGCGGTGGTGTCGTGGCACCATGGATGGTGGTCTTAGATCGCGGGGGACCACTAAGCTGCAGCGAGGACATCTGCAGCTCTCGCTTTTAGGGTAGGAGCTCGCTTCAATGGCATAAATCTGGTCCTGTTGAAATTGCCAAGATCTTATTGCAAATGCAGGTTTTGGTCATCGAAACACATGGCAGATGGGAGCAAAGCTTAGGTGTGGGACAATTGGGAGTGCCCCTCCCTCGAGGATATATATTAATTGGGTTCAATATCATTGGACCAAGGAATTTATGCGTTGTATCTCCGATCAACCGAGATGTGACCAAGAGGTTCATCATAAAAGTTAGTCAGGATGTGACAGGATACCTCGGGGCCACCCGGGGTTGTCGACGCATCCATGTTCTTAGCCCAGATACTCTACATGGTCTTTTCGAGCCAATCTTAGTCCACAAGGCTAACGCTTCATGTAGTATTCTCTAATCTTTTCATAATTCGTCTGACATGAAAAAAAAAATATCTCGCATCGACATTCCCTTTACTGAGGAGGCACATATGGGGTCACCAACATCTCACTGAACTTTTCCAACTTCTCCTTCCCGCGAACTTCCTCAACAAGCATTGGCATGCGGACCACATTGAAATCCTCATAGAGTTCCTCAATTTGATCGAGGTATTTCTTCTGCATCTTTCTCCGGGCAGTGCACTGTTCGCAGCCACTTCCTTCTTTAGGGAAAAGTAGCTGGTTGACAACGATTGCGTGGGTGTCAATGTGGTAGCTGGTCAATTCCTGGATCATGCGTTCGGTCTCGTAAAGCGACAAGAACTCTGCAATGCATACACACACAAAGGTGGTCATGTCTGGGTTCTTGAATTGCGTGTTGACCTCGCTAATAGTCTCCCGCAGCGACTCCATCTTCTGCAGCAACTCATCCATATTCTGACCGCCGGGTAGACCGCCACGAGCGCCCAAAATCGAGTTGAGCATGGGACCGAACTGGGTGGAGAGCTGGGAGAGCTTGGCTAGGGCCTTCTCGAGCACGGTGGGGAATTGAAGGAATCGCAGTGTGTGGCCGGTGGGCGCGGTGTCGAATACGATGACTTCGTAGGAGAGCGACTTGACCTGCTTCAGGACTTCGGCGAAGGACATAGCTTCGTCAACACCGGGAATCTACCACCAAGGTTAGATTGACACGTAGAGCGTAGAGTAAAAGTATATGGCGCGACAGCCGCATAAATACTTACACTGAAGGCAAGATCCTGCATCATATTTCCCATGCCCAATCCCGCCATGGGGTCTTCCTGGCCATCTCCGGTGGCAAGTAGATCCTGGATGCTCCCATTGGGGTCGATTTCCATGGCGCTCAGATTTGAGTAGCCATCGATCAGGCGAGCCTCCTTTCCGAACTTCTGGCCGAATGCGTCGCTCAGGTTGTGTGCGGGGTCGGTCGAAATGAGCAGGACGGATTTGCGGACTTTGGCTAACTGGATGGCCAGCGAGCACGAGGTGGTGGTCTTACCCACACCTCCTTTTCCTCCGACAAAGATCCAACGAAGAGTGTGTTGGTTGAGCACCGACTGGAGCGTGGGCTCCATGTCGAGGTCGTCGCCATGTACTACGGCGGAGGACATTGTGTGTGATTTGTTGAAGTTCTAAGGCGACCTCGGAAAGTTGGAAGTTCGAGAGGTCTCAAGTTGCCCCGCAAAATCGAACTTTCCGGAAGACGAGACTTTCACGACATCATACAATTCAACTCTTTCTCTCTTTGGTGTTTTTTAAATTATACATCCAATTGGTCTTGGATACAATATACCTAAGTAGACTCTTGATCACTCCCATTTTTCTCCTAATTTCAAGGTTGGCAAGCTTTCTATGGCATTTGTAGCAGTTGGAGCCATTTGTTCTCGAACTCACAGAACAATCACAGTTACGTCTGATTAAAAATAATTTCACTTAACCTAGGTATCGGTGATCACAAAAGAAAAAGCAGCTATACAACAATATACGCGCGTGGATCCCAATTGATAGCTCCGTGGCACTCTCCGCGGCCATCGGTATCCTCCGACGAACCTTTGATAGCAAGGTAGGGCTCCCCCTCTAGCATATTCTTTTTTCTTTTTCTCCTTTCTCCTTCTCTTCCTATATTCTATCCTCCCTTTGAATGAATGGACTCCCCTCAAAATAACCAACACTTTGGTCGCACCACCAACCGCCTCGCACTTTATCAGCAACAAATCTCCCCCACCCCGCACCCCAAAGACTCAGACCCAATCAAGCAACAACCAACCACCATGGCAGCCCGCGACCCCATCACCTGCCATTGCCTCAATACTTTATCAGGAACACCTGCAGCAAACCTGCCAGTGACCCTGACACTCCTCTCTACCCCAACATCCGTCACCAGTGGCATCTCATTCCGCGCAACTACCAACGCCGACGGCCGCGTCGCCAACTGGACACCAGTCGGAACTGCCTCAGAGTCTGTCCCTGCTATATTGGCTGCCCTGCCTGCTGTAGACAGCAAGACCAACTGGTCTGTGCGCTTTGAAGTTGGGCCCTGGTACGAGGCTCAGGGCGTTGAGAGCTTCTGGCCTGAGGTTGAGGTTAAGTTCACGGTCAAGGGACGTGGCCGCGAGGGCGAGGAGGGCTGGCGCCATTATCATGTTCCTGTCCTTCTTGGGCCTTGGAATTACTCGACTTACCGGGGTTCGTGAGGGTTTGGTATAAATGAGGGGATAAGCTGGGAACTGTAAATATTTCTATTTTTTCAGAGCTAGATAGATGTCAATGGGCTATCTTTATTGGAAGGGAGTTCAAAATGAAGCATGAATCTTGGCTATAGTTTTGTCTCAAAGTTTTGCGCTACTTGATACATGTAGGCTTTGGGGTATGCGCCTGCCCACCTGGGCAAGTGAGGATAGCAACTTCCTATTGAATAACAACGGTCTACTTACTCTCCAGAAAAGAAGCAGCACACAGAATAGTTCAATTACTTCAGATGAACTATGTATACACCAAAGATCTTCTTCTTGGTCTTTCCCAGACGATTGAAAATTGAAAATCAATTCCCGAAACTGGATATAGTAGTAGATGAGTCTGATCCTTTATATTCTATGAAGAACTAGTTATGGAGACAACCTTAGCATAAATGCTCTTTCCATATCTTCCACCAATTGTTGCAGGCGTACCTGGGTTATGCTTCTAATAGCTCGAGCTGGCACTGTAGCCTGCTGCCTGAGTCTCTTGGCTGTGTAGGTTTCTACTATTGACTGTCGGCATACCTTAGTTTAAATATAGTCGAATGTTTCACCCAATGCCGGTATTCCCGGGTGTTTTGATAGATATGGAAACATCCACAGTATTCTATATATGAATTCGTTCCCTTGTTTCGTTCTCCCGAAAGACTCTCAACCTTTCAACGTGCGTCAAGGGTTTTGTTTCACGTCGAGTCGTCAATTCCAGTTAGACCGTCGTTTTTAAGCGACAGGCGATGCACAGACAACGTACAATCAAGGTTGAAGGATACCGAGCTGTGGGGAAATAGCTCTCCACAATGGAACAGCCAAGGTTATCGTCAAAAGTGACGAAATTGCCTATTGGGATTAAACGGTTAATTTGGGCTAGACCAGTCTTTGAGATTATACGTTCAAATTAAGATTGCTTATAAGTACTGCACGTTCTCGAGATGCTTGATTAGTGTAAGAATATTACTACCTAGGTAGCATATGTAATACCTTTTGCATCAAGATCAGGGGGTAATATAATGGTCCAGTTGACCTGATCCATACATATATCCCATGAATCGTGTAATTGGATATGTAACAATGTGATTTTATGTAACGTACTTTGTGCAAAGTGCTAGACGCGATTTTGAACTTGTATACTCTGTGTATACTCTGTATGCATACATGTATGGAGACGCGTCCATACACTGCTGATTAATATTGATAATTCACCCAGGTGGACTCTTAAGGTGGACCCTGTGGTCGTACGATAGAACATACATAGATATTATGTATCCCATTTGGCATATATATATGATATGTACAATATATATGCTATACAACTTCAGATTAAGATGTAGAATATGTAGAATTCCAGTGGCAACTTGAAGATACTACTAGATAGAACCCTCACGTGCTATTGATTGCGTCATCGTTTTCACCGCATTCTTCGGGTTAGGGTGAGCTCGCTTGTCTTGGCAATTAGAAATAATGTTCTTTGATTGGTTGTCATAGTCCCAGATGATCCACAGCGGGTGAGATTTCTGTCGTCACAGTGACATAATGTATAATACAGCCCTGGCTAGGATGACCAACCACCGGCTATCAAACCTTGTAAGGTTGGATGCAAACATCGACTCTATCTCTCTTTATAATCTCAAGTGATATTGGACTTGACACCACCCTCTTAAGCTGGCAATGAATTATTGAATTCAATCCTCCATTGGCCTAACTTCCAGGTAAGAGTGATTTCCTTAGAATGTCTGAGATTGGGAGGTAGTAGACAAAAAGATAGACCAATAGCAAGATTTTGAACATTCGTACCAATGTCTCCGGTGGAAAGGAAGGCCGAAGTTGATATATAGAGAAAGACAGTTACAGTCTTGTAACTATTCAAATGTTTGCATACACATATAAATTTGGTTCCAATTTTTTTTAAATTACAGTACCTGATTGTAATTGTATTTTTCGTCCTCCCAAAAAAACCCCAAATCCCTAAATTTCATCATCCCTCTTCCCCCTACGTCACTCTCTTCCTCTTTCACTCTCTCTCAAGAGATATACCTATTGTTTATTTGGACTGCTATATTCATTATATTCGAAAAAGCCCCCGATGTCTGCTGCGGTTGCCCCAGCTGTATCATCTCTTCACAATATGTCTTCTCCTATGGACTCGAAGAAAGAAAAAGAAGGTTCGTGTCACGCTTTACATATTTTTTGCATATTTTTCTACTTTTAGTACTTTTGCTTTGGATATCCCCCAATACGTGGAAATTCCTTCTGCCCTTCTGCATTATACTTCCAGAAGAACTCCCCTTTTTTTGGTTTTGATAATACGCCACTACCCCCCGAGCCTTAAAATTCCTTTGCCGTCGCGATGACTTCACCCTCTGGCGTCATTGATTTCCTCCCCACCACATGTATCTTCCACAATGAAGCCTCCTCGATCTCAACGCAGTGGTACCTATATGCGATCATTAATTCCTTGGCGCATTGCTAACTCGAATTTCCTGCCTAGACTCGCAGGCGTCTTCACAGAAGGACCAGAAATCTAACGTAGAGACTCAGACTTCGTTGGCGCCGCCTCCACGACCGGGTGCGTCTACTGCGTCTGATACTCCGGACTATTTCAACTCCATGCACAATCCGTTCTCGCTAGAGCCCAATCCATTTGAGCAATCATTCGGAGGGAATCCGGCCGAGACCCCAGGCAAATCGCTTCTCCCCTCTGTCGCTGCTCTCGCCTCACCGGCATTGCCTGGAACAAGTTCTACTGGCGGTTACAACTGGACCAACTCACTGCGCTCGGGACCCCTTAGTCCGGCTATGCTCCCAGGGCCTACCGGCCCTAATGACTACTTCGACAGTATCGGTCGCGGCTTCCCTACCCCGAACGAGTCCTCCCTCCGCACGGGACTGACGCCTGGCGGTGGAGGGTCTATGTTCCCGGCCCCTAGTCCTAACTCACAAGCTCTCTTGCAACAACTTCAGAACGGTGGCGCTACCCCTTCCACTATTGATTTCCATCGTACCGCACTCGCAGCAAAGAAGAACAACGCGAATGCTCCCACTTCCAACCCTATTGAGCAGGAACAGGCTGCCAATATGGATGTAAAACCAGCTCGGCCTGCTGACTTCACTCAGCATGATGCGGCGGATGCCGCCAACGGTCTGTTCATGCTGGCAAAGGGTGGTCAGGCAAATAATGCGCCAATGAACCATACCCAAATGCAAAATGATACCCGTGCTGCTGCCCGACGTGTCTCTCAGAATACCAACGGTACCAGTGCCGAGGATGCATCTGACCAGGAACCCGCTAAGCCCGCTAAGGGTAGGGGCAAAAAGAATGCCAAGGCCCCTACCAATAACCGTCGTAAGGCTGAAGACGCTCCCAAGGGTTCCAACAAAAGGAGTAAAGCCAGCACGGAGATGCCTTCGGATATGGATGATGAGGATGATGAGGATGATGATATGAAACAATTCCCAATGGATACCAAGAAGATGACTGATGAGGAGAAAAGACGCAATTTCCTGGAGCGTAATCGGTATGATACAACCCACCTTATTATATTTATGAGCTTAGGATGCTAACGTTTGCACTACAGTGTCGCGGCTTTGAAATGCCGTCAACGGAAGAAGCAGTGGCTGGCTAACCTTCAAAACAAGGTCGAGCTTTTCACCTCAGAGAATGATGCCCTTACAGCGACAGTGACTCAGCTACGTGAGGAGATTGTCAACCTCAAGACTCTCTTGCTGGCACACAAAGATTGCCCTGTCTCTCAGGCCCAGGGGCTCGGTCCCCTTATGATGAACGGCATGGCAGCCGGATATGATCACCACGGGTATAACATGCCTCCCAACATGGGCATGCAGCCCGGTGGCATCCCTACACAGGGCATGCGTCGGTGAGAAAACTTTTGTTTCTCTCATCTCAAGATACCTATGCTTTTCGCCGCATGCAGGAAATACAGTTCTCTGCTTAGACTCGGCGGTTGATCTCTTCTTCCTAGGAGTTTGTTTTTCCTCGCGGTATCTTTCGGCTAAGGCTTGGCCGAATTCTGGCATGGGCAGGTGTTAATGATCCTCACGACTCAAAAATGGACGGACTAACTTGATGGTCTGGAATGACCTTTTTTTGAGGGTGTGTCAACCCGGCGTATGAGATGCTTTTTCTTTCTATTTATGGCTCGACTCGAGGTTGCTGTTCTGCTTTATAACGTTTGTCCTCTTTCTCCCTTTTCCCTTTTCTGTATTTTTTTACCCTTTTCTTTGCTTTTTTTTTCTTACTCCTCCTTGATGTCTCAGAGGAACTTTTTTTTACCTTTCGCTTGTCTAATACTTGAGGGCACACCGGTGCATTGTTTGTGTTCCCAAATGTGGGTTGCTTGTGTCGAAATACATGATTCCTGGGTGGCGTACGGATGGCTTTGTGATTTTTTGATGTGTTTGACTAGTTTCCTTGAACCAGATGGTTGGGCAAATGAATCGACAGTCGCTTTGAAAGTGTTATACATTTACGTAGAGAGAAGTAATTCGGTGCTTCATGATTGTAGCTCTTAGCTTTGGGATCTTTACAAAGAGAAACCAAATACTAAAAGAACCAGAGTGCCCTACTAATATCTTCAGACATCACATATCATCTAGTATTAACATTCTATAGTAAATCTCCAAACGTCATGTACATGTTCAAACCGCTTCAAAAAATCCTCGTCAAACTCGGCTTCATCCACATGGGCTTTTCACACTTGTTATTTGCCCGCCAATTCTGGATCTTGTCATTGTCCCATCCAGCTATGAATTGATCCGCAATTTCCGGCTTGCTAGCAGCTCCAAGTCGCAAGCTCCGCACAAACACACAGACTCCAGCGGTATCATAAGTGTAAGACATACACCATTCCTTGTCATGGCATGCCTGACGACAGGCTTCTAATGACTGATGCTGGGGTAGGGTATTAGGTTATTCGATGATTCCACCCCAGGCTCCATTATCCCATCCTTTCCGTTCTGGTAACTTTCCGAGGCCGTGGTAGTCAACCAAGTCCGCGTATAGGAGGGGTTTCTGAATGCAATGAATTAGCATGTATGCCAGAGGAGGGGAATCAACAAAAGAAAATCATACCGTCCTATCCCGCTGATCCTCCCAGTCCGCCAACCCGGTCATATCACTCAATTTCGACTTATGCATACTAATCGCAGGCTGACACCAATGCTGGTCATCACCGAATGGAATCGAGTCTAACGGATGCGCATTGAACATCGGCCACATCCCAGACAACTCAATACCCTTCTCGTACAGCACGAATCCAAGCACAGAGTCGCCGCAGCAGTCGTCCGTCACAGCCTGCATATACTGCTCGCTAAGCGACTGTCCAATAAACTGTCCATATTTACCAATCTCTCGCGCAACCAACGTATCAACTGCAGCTCTGGACAACACAAAGCCCGAACCACCGTACGCAAACCAAATGACTTTCCCATCAATATCGCGGCCCGGCGCAGGAGATCCCATATACAGAGGAATCGATGAATTGAACTGCTCCAGCATTCGGAACAGATTATCCCACACGAAGTAAGTATCCGTCTCGAGGAAGACGTACCACTCCGCACCAGGATTCACTTTCTTAGCCCGCTCCACCATGGGCAGGAACTTGAATCGATCGAGTTTCCACCCTGCTGCGCCGGTGATATTGTTCTCGCCGCGCTGTAAAGCATCATACCCTTCGAACTCCGGGATCTGATTCCGGGATGAGAATGGTAGATCGGCTAGGATATCGTGTACATGATGGCCATGTATTTCGGTCTCTTTGTCTGAGACGACTAGTAAGTTGGAAATGCAGCGCGTTACAGAGGCCATGTGTGTATTGACTCGGTCTGGGTTTTCGGTTGCGCTGGTTTTTAAGATGATTTGAACGCGCGAGAGCACGTCTGAGGGGAAGGTGTCACAGGTTGCGTTTTGCGAGTTATTTGTGGAATCGCCGTCATTGACAGACGAGGATTTCTGGAATCGGGTTCGGGTTTCCCATGTCCAGTAGTCTTGCTCGTTTGCGAGCTCGTTTTTAGCGCCAATTGAGATTTTTTCTGATAAGCCACTTGAGTATAGTGTGAGGAGGAGGATTGTCGAGACAGTTAGGAATACAGCGAGGAATTTGAGCTTTGCATTGCCTAGTGCTTTGAAAAATGGCCATGCGGTCGCAGATGTAGATGTAGATGTGTCTGGGCCCATATTGGGGGATTGCACATTCGGTTTATTATTAAAGCAGGGACATGGAAAGAGAAAGGGGAGGGCATGCAAAGAATAGAGACAGGGCAAAAAATCAAAATCAATTGGTGCCTTGTTAGGGTCTGGGGCTCCAAATGCTACAGATCCTGTATGAACGACTCACGGACGTCACCATAGCGGGTCTGCTCCAACTCACCCCGAATTATGGTACCTGGGTTGCATGCACCTTGGCTGCCATTTGACTGGATTCTAACTGTGCATTCGCTTGGACCGAGCCTAACAATAGCTGGAATTCTGACCGGAAGATCTGGGTTCCTTGCTCATATTCCAGGATTGGGCTGGCGAAGGCCATGCTCTGGTCTTCTGAACTGTGTAGGTGGGTTCATATGCAGATATTTAATTGTTGTGGGAAACTCATCGAAAGAGAAGCCTGTAAGATAGCCTGGGGGGCCTATATTAATGAAAGACATGGACTTGTGAGCCTCAAGATCTGTATAGTAACTTCGGAGCTTTATATGACGGAGATGATATCCGAATTCGGCAAGGCGAAACTCAGATAGCGATAGGGCGATAAGACTAAGAAGCCTTAGGAACTTGGCATCAAGGCACGTCAAACATCACAAACACAAACATTCAAGCTTCAAGCTTGAGTCTGCGTTACCTCCATTGAGATGCAATTTGGAAGGTTCATTCCAGCCGTGTATTGAAAAGCCTACACTCTAGTATCAGGCTTGATTCGCGACCTTCCCCCTAAAACCCACTGCCCGACCACGCATCTTGCCCAACAATTCCACCGCAAACAAAGCACCCACAGCCGCGAACCACGAGCGAACAGATACAAGACACCGAACAATTCGCCCACTAGGGCACCGGGCAGACAATGTCAAACCCAGCCCGAACCCCCGCGCGCGCACGCCGCCTAGACGACGCCCTCTCCCAGCTCGTCGATGGCCTGACCCCCGCGCTCCCGATCTCCGCCATCCAAGACGAAGACTACTCCGACACAGAAGAAGCCCTCGCGGCTGCCGAAAGCCGTCGCCACCATGTCCTCATGGAGCGCGCCTGGCGCATCCTCGACACCCACGCCAGCACCAACGCGCCAGACCCAGCATCACCGGCGGGACTTGGTGGACGGCGCGGCAGTCTCGCGGGAACAGAGAGCGTCAACAACGCGCCGGATCTGATCAAGCGCAAGCTGCGCCGCGAGAATATTAGCCCGGATAAGGCGGTGCGGTTTTCGAATCTCTACTCGCGTCTCCTGACGCAGCCTGTGCTGTCGCAGAAATGGGGGATCCTGTTTTTGCTTTATAAGTTGTCTGCTTCGTATGAGCCTGTTGAGGGCGGGGAACGGAGTCGGAGCCCGTTAATGGATGAGGCGCATTTGCATAATATGTTGGGGAAGGGTGGACGTTCGAGACGGGGTACGATGATTGACTCTGAGGATGAGGGCCCTGCTATTAGCTCGTCGGCTTCGCAGCAGCACCATCGCGTTCTGCCGGCCAAGGTGGAGCGGCAGAGCTCGCTGAAACGTGATGTCAATCGTGATGGTGGGGACCAGGCTGGGCGCGGCGAGGCTGAAATACCGGCCACACGCGTTGATGCTGGGGTGAATGATCGTTCCAGCGATGAGCGTGCTAGCTCGCCTCGGCCCTCGACTGCTAATCCATCGGACCCAGCGAAATTTTCTGGGTCTGTTGAACATAGGCTCCTGCGCGACCTTCCGTTTAACTTGCAAGGGTTGTCTTCGTCGAATCTGCAATTCAGTTCCTCGTCGAGCTTGAAATTGCCCTCAAATCTGTCTGCGCCAATAACTTCACTTCTTAACACGTTGGCAGAGCCTTGTCTGCTGTATAAAGGACTGTCTGCGTTTGTGGAGACCGAGGAAGGCGGGCTAGTGAATCAGAGCTTGCGAGCTGCCATTGCCATTGAGCTGCGCGCATATCTTAGCTTGGTGGCTACACTAGAGGCGGAAATTCGACAGGCGCTGGCTGCGATTGGAGACGGAAACGAGCCTCAAGGTGTACGAAAGGGCGGCGTTACCTTGAAGCGATGCGTGGTGTGGACAAGAGATGCTACGATGGCCCTTCGACTGATGAGCCTGATCGTAGAAGAGGCTCAGAGTAAGTTCACAGACAAATGACTATATTTTCTCAATACTGACATATATTACAGGCAAGCGAGGTGGCCAGTTGATTTCCTTAATACACGGCTTCTCTACATCCCACGGAGATCCCTTTGTGTGCGCATTCGCCGAGAAACTTCTTGCACATGTGACGCGTCCATTCTACGACATGCTACGGCTATGGATTTATGATGGTGAACTGTCAGATCCATACAAGGAATTCTTTGTCGCTGATCCAGAATTCCGGCCGAAGACTGACCCTCGACGGCTTGCAACTAGCGTTTGGGAGGACAAATATAAGCTTGATGATGACATGTTACCTTCAATCATTACTCAAGATTTTGCGAAGAAGATTTTCCTGATTGGAAAATCCTTGAACTTCATCCGTCATGGCTGCGGCGATTCGGCTTGGGTGGAGGCCTATTCAAAGAAAGCCTCCAAGGAACTTCGATATGGTGACACCGCCACTCTCGAGACCTCTATTGATGAGGCATATAAGACCACAATGGCTCGGTTGATTTCTTTGATGAACGGAAAATTCAACCTCTTCGATCACCTAAAAGCACTAAAGAGTTACTTGCTACTGGGCCAAGGAGACTTCATTGCTTTGCTCATGGAATCGCTTGCTACAAATCTGGATCGTCCAGCAAATTCACAATATCGACACACCTTAACTGCACAGCTGGAGCATGCCATCCGGGCCTCTAATGCACAATACGACACCCCGGAAGTGCTGCGTCGGCTTGATGCCCGCATGCTCGAGTTGAGCCACGGTGAAATCGGATGGGACTGCTTCACATTGGAATACAAAATCGATGCTCCCGTGGACGTGGTCATCACGCCTTGGGCATCAACCCAATACTTGAAAGTATTCAACTTCCTCTGGCGCATCAAGCGAGTCGAGTTCGCGCTGAACAGTACCTGGCGACGATGCATGACCGGTGCACGAGGAGTACTCGGCAACGTGGAGGACAAAGTCGGAGCAGACTGGAAGCGAGCACGCTGCGTAATCGCAGAAATGATCCACTTCGTCAACCAGCTCCAATACTATATCCTGTTCGAAGTCATTGAGTCCAGCTGGGAACAACTGCTCGAGGCAATCCGGAGACCGGACTGCACGCTAGACGACCTCATCGAAGCACACACCAAATACCTCAACTCCATCACTCACAAGGGTCTACTTGGATCCGCGTCCTCCTCGCGCTACGGTGTCTCGACCTCAGCCTCCGCCAAACAACCCGAAGAAAGCTTCCTCAGCCAGCTCCACCAGATCCTCAAGTTCATGCTCGCCTACAAAGACGCCGTAGACGGCCTGTACTCCTTCTCCGTGGCAGAATTCACCCGGCGCCAGGAAATAAACGCCAAGATCGAGACTCGCTCCGCCCAGGGCCAATGGGGGAATCTCCTCTCCCGCCAGTCCAACGCCCGGAACGGGACATCAATGAACTCGAACCCGGACACCCGACCCGAAAGTGCCGGGGTAGCCGGCGTCAATACCCCGCTTTCATTATCCGGCCATAATCTCGCGGTCGATGACAACATGCTTGCCTCGCTCCGCCTCCGCCTCCGCGAAATCTCTGCCGAGTTCCGCTCCCGTTTGACCATCCTCCTTGGCGATCTGTCGTACCAGCCGGATGTTGATATGCGCTTCCTGGGCGTTGTGATGAACTTCAATGATGTCTATGAACTACCTAAACGACGGAAGGCGGCTGGCCCGAGCGCTAGGGATAAGGAGAAGGAGAAGGAGAAGGAGAAGGAAAGAGAGAGGGAGAAGGCGAAACGGAGAGTTGCGGCTTCTGCAGCAGCTACGAGCTCTGGGACTGAGAGCTTTGTACAGAAGGAGGTGCGCAGGGAGAGGAGGGATACTGGGGCTAATGATCCTGGGTTTGCTTCTGGGACTGGGACATAGATGTCTACGGTTGTTACGGTCCTCTTGGGAGGACATCTTAATGCAGTTGACGAGTTTCATGATATTTTGTTTTTCTTACTGTGTACAAAACTACCAAGAGCTGAATACATTCCTTGTTATACATATAAAAGTTGTCTTTTTCAACCTCTTCCCGTCGTCTCCATACAGGACATCTATTAATAATTGATGCCAGCCAGATCCCCTGCCAAGCTTCTTTTTTTCGAAAAAAAATATTGATTCTTAACATATGTACCTCTCATATCGGCGCTAAACTGCTCTTCGTACATACAGCATATATGATCTGCAGGCAAAAGTTCAGGCACCAACGTGTAATATAGACCCACCTTCCCTTTTCGGAAGCATATGTTTCTATAAATGTCAGAGAAACGATGTCCTTTTAATCGACAATCCGGCCAGTGGCTGATTGAGTTCCTCTGCTAGTATTCACCCTCCCCCGCGCTAGTTGGAGTTCGAGTCCTTCAGTCCACGATTAAAATTCTTTACAAAAAAGAAACATGCTAACCTGTCCTGCAAAATGGATAGGCGTGACTTGGGCACAGAGTACTGGCTGAGATTCTCAATTTTTGTATTTTTTTCTAGATCACCCTACTTATATATTTTTCGCTTGCTCGTTTTACTCACTGCTTCTTTTCACCTAGGTTCTTCAAAGAGGAAACTAAGGCTAGTCTAGCAAGCCATAGATATGATTTACAGGCAGATTCAGGCATAAAGACGTGGCGTATATCCACCTTCCCTTTTCGGAAGGATATCTTTTCAATCAAGACCTTAGTTCCGTCCCGTCTATAACGTCCATCCATGAGGTCCATCGGAACTCACCTACGGATCTTTTCGACTTCATCGTTGATCAGTAGAATGCTGAAGTGCTTAGACTGTCTCACCGTGCCTTGCTCCCGTGAGGATTCTCAATCTTCTATCTATGCTGCTTTCTAGGTAGATCTATGAAAGTTCGCCCTTCTATAATACATCGATAAACCGTATACTATACACACTTCCCAATGCTACCCACGCATGTGTCCATGCGGAAGATTGGTTTGGTAATTTGGCTCCAGAGTTGGTTTTTATTCCCATTGATCGACTGCAAATATTAATCATGTCCTCTATTGATAGTTCTTTGGTTATAACCAGCCTGATGAACATCTTCATCGCCTTCTAGGTGACGACACACCCGCTTGCCAAACCCCATCCCTGGAGGCCAACGCCGACTTCTAGTCCATTTTTATCTTCTTCTTGTCCTCAAATTCCAACTTCTGTCTTCCTTCTTCTTCTTCTTCTTCTTCTTCTTCTTCTTCTTCTTCTTCTTCTTCTTCTTCTTCTTCTTCTTCTTCTTCTTCTTCTTCTTCTTCTTCTTCGGACAAATGAAAGCTATGTATCTGTTGCTTTATCTTTGGACCTTGCGACTTGGCTGTGCCTGAGTACAGTCAAGTCTCACTGTATCGTTGGGCTCACACTACCCCCGATAGGCGCGAGCACCTTTTTCATCAACTGTACAGCTTGCCCAGGAACTTGGAGAAGAAGTTGTCTGCTTAGTATTGTGCATATCATAGGTATTGCGTATGTTGTTGTATTGCACGCGTTCTACTCAACCTTCCGTTCCCCTCTTAATATCATACAACATTGAGGATAGACAGACCTATTCTGTTTGGTCCCTTTAATTTATCTCTATATACTTGGTGCTGCTTCTGTTAAACGCTCACGCTTGTCTACAGGAGCAAGTTTTACTCAGGTGAGAAGCTAGGTTATGCATTATAGAAGCCGACTGTACAATTTACACTCTTTGTTAGTTTCATTTAGTTACATATAAAAAGACAGCTAAAAAGATATCCAAAAGGAATATCTAAAAACACATCGAAGTGTGCTTCCATATAACGTCTCTGATATCAGGTCATCATTAATTTCTACCATCAAAGACAGTGGCGCTATTGAGTTCGGGTCAGTTGCTTACTAGTATCTGTTCGATAGAGCTTCATTTGTCTCTTGATATAATTGACTTAGCGTTAAATAGTCTGGTTGGGGAATATACAGCATCTAATCTTAGCTCGACACTCAAACATCTGAGCCCAATTTTCTAACTGATGGCTCTGTAGTCTCTACCTCAATATTCATGCTTTTGGTATGTTTCAATTGATGATTCCCTTGCAAATAGCCATTCGGAGTATATAGAAAGAAGGAGACCATATGATTGGCCTGCACAATTGATCGGCAGAAAAAAAGTTGTCTCCGCCCACTTGTCTCAGCACCACAATCGAGGTCGCATTTACAGGCCCTGAACTCCAGATTTCAGTCTTCTTTATAACGTTAAGTCCCAATTCTATTTTGTATTTTGCCAGACCGTGTCGCATCCTACCCACAGCAACGATGGCGCACCAGACGGACGGCCAGTCCCCAGCGTCGAAAAAGCTCGTCTCGAAGCTCAAGAAATTGAAGGACACTACAGGAGAGGATAGAAGTGCAGACGCACAGGAGTCCACCCCCAGCAAGGAAGATTCCAAGTCCGACAAGAAGGACAAGAAGAAGCGCAAGTCCGTTTCCGAGGATGCGGCACCCGAGACAGACGGCGAAATGAAGAAAAAGAAGAAGCGCCGCCATACCGAAGACGACAACGACCAAAATGGCAAGGACGATGAATCGCACAAGCAAAAGAAGAAGCGTGTCTCGTTTGGACCCGGAACCAAGGAATTCGACGGCGACTCTGCAAGTGAAACGGACGAGGCCGACACCAATGACGCTGCCGCAACGGACGGAGCCGACGCAGACATCGAAGACGACGGAGACAGGATGTTTGAAGAGATGAAGCAGCACAAGCGGGATAAGAAGAAGGCAAGGAAAAACGGTACCTCGATTGAGGCAATGCACGAAACGCCTATTCTGTCGTACCTGAGCCACTACCACCGAGCACGCGCGACATGGAAGTTCCAAAAGAACCGGGAAACCAACTTGTTCAAGCACCTGTATTCGCTTGAGCATGTCCCCACTAAATACAACACATCGTTGCTGGCGTACATGCAGGGTCTGAAGGGTGATGCCGCCAAGCAACGAATGAGCGATGCTGCGAGGTTGGTGATCAAGGCCGATATGGATCTCGACAAGCCGAAGGAAGACGAAGAAGCGGAGAATCAGGAGCCTTCAGGCCCAAGCCCCGAGTACCTGGAAGCTATCAATGCGTTCCGCGAGTGCTTGCCAAAGGCAAGTGAGGATCTGGACAACGTTAACTTCGGAGAGAAGCTGGAGGGAGACGTCCAAAAGCGTTTGCCAAAGAGGCAGCGAGCAGAGCTGGTCTTTTTCGCTGTTGCAGGCAAGCTTTTCAGCGCCGAAGATTTGAAGAAGCCGAAATCGAAACTCAAGGCCTCCGGCCCCCGGTAATCAAGAAGCGGAAAAACAGAACTATGGTTGTCGATATCAGCAGCAGCGAGGATAGCGATGATGATGCCCCAGCTCCAAAGAAGGCTGCCAGCAAGCCCGCGCCAGATAGCGATGACGAGACCTCATCGAGCGGCAGCAGCAGCAGTGACAGCGATAGCCCTGCTACCCCGGCTCCAGCCCCGGCCAAACAGAGTGCCGCACGTACACCTCCATCGTCTACCCCTAAGGCTGCTACAATGTCGAAGACGGAGGCCAAAGCTGCCAAGAGGAAGGAAAAGTTTGTACCAGTTCGCGAACAGAAGGCTAAGCCTGCTGTGCCGAAGAAGACACAGAAGCGAAAGCTCAGGACTGCTCAGATCGAAATCTCGAGCAGCGAAAGCGATAGCGAATAGTTCTGACGAAACGGGGTTTGGATTGCTATCTAGGGTTTGGATGTGTATATATCTCTACCACAGCATTTGGGACGGTGTAATTATGTTCATGTCAAAAAGTCATTTTATCTTCATGTCGTCCATAATTGATCTGCATTGAAGTATATGTGATAGATTAGATTACTATATGGTTTGTTTTCTCTTCGAAGTTGATATTTCACGCATCCAAGGGCGAACAAAAAAATTATAAAAAAAGTCTGAGTCCATCTTTTGACCATTGACCTGTAAATCCTCGTTATCTTGTAAAATACCTCGAATTCATTAGTAGTAAAGAAATCCAATGGACAGTCGCTGGCGAGCTGTTTATAGAGGAACCTAGAAGGCGGTGAAGCTGACCTCAAGCTTGAGCTCAGGCAGCTCTGGCACGCGTCACTGAGCAACCCCCATCATCTCATCCTCTTGAACCCTCCTTTCTCATTTCTTTCCTTTGCTTTCGTTAATCTCGCTATAAAATACTTGAAGATCCGCTATCATGTCCGGTATGCTCCCTAGTCGATGATGGCCCAGCTCAACCACATGACTTCATCCACTGACCTTGGTTCTCTCCGCAGGAAGCGCCTACGATAGACATATCACTATCTTCTCTGACCAGGGTCGATTGTACCAAGTTGGTATGTATTGCCAGCTCGTCGATGATTCCGCCTCGATCTGCCCATCGGCCTCAATCCGTGCGCTGTCATCATGACCGCTGACCAAACATCTCCCTCCCAGAATATGCATTCAAGGCCATCACTTCGGCCAACATCACCTCCATCGGTGTGAGGGGCAAGGACTGTGCCGTGGTGCTCTCGCAGAAGAAAGTTGCTGTAAGATGGATTACTTGTTTATAGCTGGGGGAGTTGTGCTCACGCTAATTCGCTGTCTACCAGGACAAATTGATCGACCCATCCTCCGTTTCACATGTATTCCGGATCTCGCCTTCCGTAGGTTGTGTGATGACCGGCTCCATAGCAGATGCTCGCGCATCCGTTGACCGGGCCCGTGGTGAGGCTGCTGAGTTCCGGTACAAGTTTGGATATGAGATGCCCTGCGATGTTCTGGCAAAGCGACTGGCAAATATCAACCAGGTCTACACACAAAGGGTAGGGTTTCTCTCTTGCCACCCTGCAACCATCCCATTTAGAGAGACAGAATAGCTGACATGGTTCTCTTTGAAACTCTCCAGGCTTACATGCGACCACTCGGCGTTGCTACGACCTTGATCTCCGTCGATGATGAGAGCGGCCCGCAGCTCTACAAGTGTGACCCCGCCGGTTACTACGTTGGGTACAAGGCGACAGCATCTGGCCCTAAGCAGCAGGAGGCGTTGAACTACCTCGAGAAGAAGCTGAAAAACAAGGATTGCGCCCCGGGCAGCTGGGAGGAGGTTGTGGAGCTGGGTATCACAGCCCTCAGCAATGTGCTAAGTGTTGACTTCAAGAAGCATGAGATTGAGATTGGTATCGTTGGTGGGCCACGGACCGAGGGTGAGGAGGGAACCACTACAGAGTTCCGTGCCCTGACGGAAGAGGAGATTGATGAACGGTTGCAGGCCATAGCCGAGAAGGACTGAGCGAGCTGGGCCTGCAAGCTATGGAGGTGAGCGACCAGTAATGGGAGAACTCTGGTGTTTATTTTAGAGAAGCAGACGATCTGTGAATGATAACTCAATTGTTTCCTGCACGACTACACCAGTACACTTTCGGTCATATTCGGGCCTCATCCCGTCCTGCAGCTTGACGGGATACTACTCTCAAGTATCAGGTAGATCCATTTATTATCGATAGAGTATGGATGCTACCATTCCTTATCCCCAATAGTATACTAAAGATATATCGCGTAACCCTGTGGTCCGAGAGCATGCATATCACCTCAGCCTGTCAGGACTAGAGAATCGCCACTGGAAAAATAATTGACTGGTTTATCACAGCGTCTACATGCATAAACCTTGAAATGCAAGGAGACACGGGCATTTGCTACGAAGAGAGTGGGTTGTGCGGACGCCACACGTGGCTTAGAGGTGGCTGGGCCTGACAGGCCATAAGATTTATAACATTTATGCGTTCAACTGTGTCCAATAGGTTGATTCTTCGTATATGATTGGTCTTTTTTTAATTGAACTAGTGCGGCTAGGGGATACTAAAGTGGCTAAAGTCCTGGACTAAGAATAAGTGTGGCAAACATCAGCTGAACATGCTCATGTTCATGTTCACTCTTAACTGTCAGATCCACTTCACGTCAGGTCCGAGTTCAGGTCCGAAACATTGGATCTCATCTAATGCAGGTCCAAGGCTGAAATTCGACTCTTTTTTTCGCCTTGGCTTATGTTACTAGATTTTCAACAGGGGTCCCACGAGCCATGATGCCTCAAAAACAGCAACAAAAAAAAAATTTAATTGTGGTTCTCCACTGAGTAGTTCATCCAACACTCTCCAATCAGCATCATGAAACGACATCTCTCTCTTCTCAGAAACTCCAAATCGGCACAAGAACTTAATCTCATATGCGGGCCAAACGATCTCCACCTTCCCAAATCCACCTCGGAATACTGTTTAATGCAATAGGCCAGGTTTCCCCATGCGACCATATGGGGTCTATACCTTTGTCTCCTTCTCCACTGTCAAATTCCCTTGGGACAGGGATGCTCCTAGTCATGCCGTAAACGGTTTCTCGGGAGCTTATGGTGTGGCCCGGTCCCATCCCAGCTGTGGTCGACAACCCGAGCTCCCTGATTGTGGCTTCTTGTCCGTCTATTGGTGCAGCTCGTCTTCTTGGTGATGATGTATCCTGACGTCGGCTCCGCTGTCGAGGGCTGATAAATCCTTTTTTATGTCATTTTTTATTATTTTGTACCTGGTTCACCTAATGAGGATTATTATCATGTATGGGGTAAGGAGAGACACCATTTCTAATCTTTGAAGACTTATATCTTTCCCTCATTTCCCCCCCCCCGGAAACAGTTGGTGGCCTAACATTCTCGACTCCATGGACCAGCAGTTCCTCTGACCGTTGCCTTTCTTTCGTCTCTCATTGGTTGTCTTTGATTTATACTTGCTTTTTGCCTTCTTCCTACTCGTCCATCGTCTGATCCATTACCCTCATTATTATATACCTAATTTACCAAAAACATGGCAGACGGATGTAAGCCGAACCTCAAATGATATCAACCAATGATCGAAAAATAGCTAATGGCAATGAACCATGCAGACAATCAAGCCCGCGCTATGCGCGTCGCTGAGATAATCAACGACTACCGCACCCTGCTACTCCACATCTCGCAGCAGCAAGTCGAAGCATCCCAAGAAGAATACTGGGAAGATGGCTTCGTAGTACTACGCGAGTCTCTGGCCTCAGCCCAGACCCTAATGTCCGCCAACTACCAAGCCTGTCCGGTAACAGGGCAAGGAAACCCCGAGACCGAGAAAGCCGAGCTACAGAGGTATATATACATACGATCCAAACGTCCAACCATATCACGATACTAACAGTCTCTTCACAGAGTCATTGTGGACGGCAGCGCACGCCGATTCCAAGCGCACAAGATCTACTTGCGCGCCGCCGCCGCCAGGCGATGGGCCATGACACGCGCTAGCATCCTGCGCGGCTCTCACCCAGCGGCCCAGCACGCTGCAGCCTTGAAGGGCGCAACTGCAACCCTCCATCAGGATCTGGCCCGTGTCACAGACCAGCATGTCGTGGCAGACCTGCGAGCTGCTGATCTGCGCGCTGGCCACTGGGTTGATGAGGACCCTTCCTTGGAGGTGATTCGTCGCTGGGTTTCAGGCCGTTAATCGCACTGGCGATATGGATATGAAACGAAAACGAAAACGAATGCATGTGGCATGTTGCATGATGTTGAAGTAGGGGGTCTTTTTTCGGATTTTGCCTTCTACTGATTCTCGAGCCTTGTTGGGCTTTGTATGATTCTTCTAATGGGGGGCTTGTTTGGGGTGACGGGTGTAGCGCTGGTCGTGAGTGCCTGTCGGCCTTCTCTGTGAAGAGACAAAATAAGTTTGGATTTATTGCGTGGTTTTGTTTATAGCTACGATATCCCCTCTTGTTTACTTTTTTTTGGGTTGTATTTTGCTTTTTCAGGTGCTATGAGACATTTCTCAATCAATTGAGTTCCATTGTTACACAGTTCAAGATAGAAGATCAGATCTTATTATGTCTCGTACATTGGGCAATATACATAGTATGTTACATACATATTATACATGGTCTCTTATGTATAGGTCAATGCATAGAAGGATAGCCCTAATGGCCCCACAGTAATCTGACGCAAATCTGTACGTGTCTATATTAATCAAATTTGCTCCTAGGGACTACATATGACGACAGAAAACATACACCGTAGAAGTCCGAATTTGTCGGCAATTGAATGTGAACCAGACACCTGGGGCGCCGAGGCAGAGATGCCAGCTGAAAGATCCACCATACTTTGTGTATCCAAACGCAGTGGAGGGTCAAGCAAAAAACGGTGCACATATCAAAGTGGATCTGATCAACTTCCGATGATTTTTTTGGACACGGCTTGCGAAGCTAAGGGCGTTAGTTCGGCTGTGCAGATCCAATCAGCACTATGAACGACCATATCGCGGCTGGGTTTCAGCTATGCATGGACTGAATTTTCTGGCAACAGTTTTTTTTTTTTTTTTTTTTCGTTTACTTTTCTTCTTTGTTCTAGTGAAATTGCTATTCCCACGTTTTATTATTCTACCGTTAAACCGCCGGGCTTTCCGGATCACTTCCTACCCATACATTTCTCTTTCTGGAGGTCTTCTCGGCCATTGTGGCCTGTTTCATAACATTAAATTATGGGTATGTGGGGCATGTTGGATAAAGAGGATAAATGTGTTATGTCGATCGTTGCGTTTCATCTCTTTCGGCGACCTCCGAGTATGATGCCCAATGTTGTATAGGTGGATAGACAGTAACCTCGCATTTCACAAGAGAGCACACATGTCATGCCATGCTCCTCTATTTGTAATTTTTATATATGATCCCAGTACTCGTCATATGAGAACTAGTGAATAACATCAGAAGAGAGGAAATATAGGGCAACTAGATAGGTTGCATTAAGGCTAGCCATAGAGATCATGCATATGAGTTCACGCTATTCCGTAAAATCTTAGCATATAAGTTCGAAGATTATCTCATGACTGGGAAGGATTCTAAACCCTGAGCCCACGTGTAGTTTCAGCCGATCCTTGTACATCACTTGGTATCCTATCAAGGTCATCACCCCCAAATGCCACTTTCCCAGACACCCCTCGGCTTTAAGATGGTCGTCACTTGCCATGAGTTTGGCCGATCTATTACCGAAGACTTCCAGTCTATGTTCGATTCCCCGTGTGGGTATATTTGAGGGCGTGGGCCGCCTGACCAAGCTACATATATATTTCTCCGTGTTATATATATCGGGGAATTGCGGGGCTTAGGAATCTGATATCAAGCTCCCTTCTGCATTGAGATACTTCCAATCATGAGCCTCGGCAAACTTAATGATCAATACAATAAACAATGACTAGCCAGTTATCATTTCACATAGCATTGCCACTCTACAAAGTAAAGCAGGCTATGTCTCATTTTTGCTTAGAGTTGCATTCTTCAACATCACGAGTACTTGATACTTCATATCTTGTGCTTCTCCAAAGTATTGAAGTCTAAAGTCAAAAAGCAATAAGCTAACATGCTATTACATGGAACATATTAGGGATTGGTCAGTATTAGGGTGATATGCACCTTGAACAGGTGAAGGTGTCACGCACGACATTTTTCTTAGACCCCGACGGGAATTTGGTAAATATATATATTGTCTCCCACCACCATAGGTTGTCTCTAGATTATATCTTTGATTGCACAGGAAATATTAACCGATCTCTGATCTTCTATTCTCCGATCTTCTGTCTTCCCGGATATATTTTTCTATTTATACATATTCAGCCACGTTTATTGCCTTGGTGCCTTGATTTCTACACCGCCACAAGTGAGTCCCTAGGGCTGACCAATGATGTTGTGGCATTGATATTGCCCAGACGTCTCAAGGTATGGAAGTCCACTAACGGTTAGGCTGCGACATAAAGTACCCCTCTAGAAATACTTGCGCGCTTCCTGTGAGTACACAAATTTCTTTTGATTTGAAATTGTGGCTTATCGACTCAAGTTCATTGCTTTGCTTGCTGCCCTGCTTGTGGCTGTTCTCATACAACACTTTAACTATACCCGTGATACTCATCCCGCGTCAACCATGTCTGAAATGAAATCAGTCGTCTACTTTGTCAATTGGGTATGTGCAGGTGTTTAATTTTGCTTACCTCATTTCAGCCCCAACTGCATAACCCGCGTCCATTCTACAGTACCTAACGGGCTGGAAACATATATACCACAAAACAAGTACAAATATTGACATACTCCATAGGCAATTTATGGCCGCAACTACAACCCACAGGATCTACCCGCGGAGAAACTGACACACATCCTCTACGCGTTTGCAAACATTCGTCCCGAAAGCGGCGAAGTGTAAGTCCTACCATAGATCCTTACATGCTGCAGAACATTTCCTGACCCAGAACTGCAGGTACTTGACCGACTCTTGGTCCGACGTCGAGAAGCATTACCCGACAGACTCGTGGAATGATGTCGGCGAGAATGTGTACGGATGTGCCAAGCAGCTTTTCCTGCTCAAGAAGCAGAACCGCAAGCTGAAGGTTTTGCTTTCTATCGGTGGCTGGACTTACTCGGCGAATTTCGCACAGCCCGCAAGCACCGAGGAGGGTCGGACTACATTTGCCGAATCGGCGACCCGCTTGGTTCTGGATCTGGGATTCGATGGTACGTTTTGTCGGCCAAATAACTACGGCATACAATGCTGATTTTGACTCTTTTACAGGTCTTGATATTGATTGGGAATATCCCAAAGGTGAATTGATCAGAACATATCTGAAGAAAGTGCGAGACTTACCATATATCCAGATGAGACCGAGGCCGAGAATCTAGTTCTCCTGCTCCAGAAGTGCCGAGAGGTATGTCGTTCACCTGAACCTTAAATTGGACCAACTGACTGGAATCAGGTTCTTGACAGAGAGTCTGGTTCTGACCGCCGTTTCTACTTGACAATCGCCTGCCCTGCCGGTATGTCCGTACTGTATCTCGGGCGATAGAAAAATGCCCTGAGCCATTAAACTGACTACTCCAGGCCCGAGCAACTACGAGAAGCTCAAATTTGAAGAGATGACCCCAGTGCTCGACTTCTACAACCTCATGGCATACGATTTCGCCGGAAGCTGGGACAGCAACGCCGGCCACCAAGCGAATATCAGCCCTTCATCTTCCAACCCTGCATGCACACCGTTCTCGGTCAACGCTGCTGTAGACTACTACATCAATAACGGCGGTGTACCACCCTCGAAGATCGTCATGGGCATGCCACTGTACGGCCGTGCATTCGAGAACACCGACGGCCCCGGCGCCCCCTTCTCCGGGGTCGGAGAGGGAAGTTGGGAAAACGGAGTGTGGGATTACAAGGCACTGCCCAGACCCGGGGCTGAGGAACAGTTAGATGAGGAATCTTGTGCCTCGTTCTGCTATGATGGCGGTTCGCGCAAGATGGTTTCCTATGATACACCCTATGTGGCGCAGCTCAAGGCGAACTATATCGTCGAGCGCGGGCTAGGTGGTGGTATGTGGTGGGAGAGTAGCGGTGATAAGGGTGGTAAGGGAGCTGACCCGGCAGAGGGAAGCTTGATTGGTATCTTTGTCGACGGTGTGGGTGGTGAAGGTGCTTTGGATCAGTCGTCTAATGCCCTTGATTATCCCGAGAGTAAGTACAGCAATGTTCAAGCTGGCTTCCCCGAGTAGAGAGCTTGCACGGCTTTGTGCATTGCTATTTGCAGTACAGTAGTTGACTAGACGGGATGTGAATATCGAAGTCTACGAATACAAGTCTGTCTTTACGTGGGAGTTGGAGTTTTCGGCAAATGCCCAGTTTTTTTTTTGTAATTGACTGGGTATTCCAAAGAACCATCATCAACTAGCGTCTACCGTGATACTCCATCACTTTCCCTAGCGTAACAAAATCATTCCGAAGGTCGGTGACAGCACACCACGGCTTGACTTAGACCATTTATTTGGCCTCGTCGAAGACGTAGGTGAGGTGGCACTTACCGCAGTACTGGCGGTTGTGCATAGCGGCCATGAAGACACCGGCACCACACTAAAAGAGAGAACAAGTTAGTTTCTGTTGATCGAATTCCAAGGGTATTGTCGCAAAGACAAAAAAGTGATCACATACCTCGGGAGCGGGGCACTCGCGGCGAAGACGCTCGATCTTTCCATCACCGTCAACCTTGTAGTATTTGAGGATGGCGAGTTTGGTCTTCTTGTGCTTGTGCTTGATCTTCTTGGGGGTGGTGTAGACCTTCTTCTTGCGCTTCTTACCACCACCACGCAGGCGGAGGACGAGGTGAAGGGTCGACTCCTTCTGGATGTTGTAATCCGAGAGAGTGCGGCCATCCTCGAGCTGCTTACCAGCGAAGATCAGGCGCTGCTGGTCAGGGGGAATACCCTCCTTGTCTGGGGAAACGTTAGCCTATGTCGCTTTTTTTTTTATTTTTCGAGAGCCTCGTGTGTGGGATCGCTGCTCGTCGATTTCGGTTGTGCTTACCCTGGATCTTGGACTTGACATTGTCAATGGTATCGGAGGACTCCACCTCAAGGGTGATAGTCTTACCCGTAAGGGTCTTGACGAAGATCTGCATCTTGATGAAGGCCTGGTGCGACAAGAAAAGTTAGTGGGATGCTCGCGACAGTGAAAATGTGGCAAGTAGAGATAGAATGGACTGCAAACTAGTTGCGCATGCTCATCACATTCCTATCTGCTTGTATAGGATAAAAAAAACTCACCTCGACAGTCGTGTCTTCCTCAACCTTACAAGATTAAAGAAGATCGTTGTGGGCGGAGGCCGGCTGGTGATTAAAATCGTTGTGTGGTCACGTGAGTGGGTCATATGCCGAAAGTAGTTTAGGGTAAAAGTACCATGCTGACTAGCCAAATTTTGCCAAAGTGGAATTTTTCAAGGTTGGAAGCGGAAAAGTTAAGCCAAGGGATTGCCTTAATATAACCAAAAGTCTTGAATCCTTACATCCAATAGGTGCCATGGTCTAGTGGTATGACGCTACATTGTGGTGAGCTACGTTGTGGAAACACAACTGCGCACAGCAAATCTGTATCAGCCCCAGTTCGATTCCGGGTGGCGCCATTTCTTTTTATTTTTGGTTTATTTTTAGATTTATTTTACTTTCTATCTATCCTTTAGAATCTTGGGGTTTTTTTCCTGAATGTTTCATATATTGATACGGTACAATTGCTAGTGAACTGTATTAATTTACAATGGGTGTGAGCCAAGTTGCGCAACGATGCGAAAAGTGGTGGCCCCCAAGTTTATAAAGCCACCAGCAGCTTGATGCTGCGTAAGAATTTCCTAACGTAGAAAGTAATAGAACTGAGGGAACTGCGCTTATTTCGTACGCGCATGATCACTGGAATTTTCATGTCCAATTGCCCCAGTATTATCGGCTTGAGGCAACTAGTTTGTTGAGTAAACTATATTCAAACACCTTCAATTCAGCGAGAAGCAGGGCAAGCCATTTAGCTTCTTGGAGTGCTAGAGTCTGAGAAATAGACTCTGACGCGGCCGAGGAAAGGTTCTTGGAACACAAGCTTGCTTTTTAGAAGCCCAGGAAATAGAGCCTCCCGCAGAATGAAACACGACCTGAATGTGGAAATGCCATTTGTAGGGTATGATTCAACATGATGAGCATCACAGCAACCAGAGTACTCCAGTTTAGAGAAAATATAGCAAGACAATATCAGAGACTAAGGAAGACGATCTTCTAGTTAAAATTCTTGAAGATAGAGGATTGTCTCGATCTCTCCCCCAACCTTCGTCTCTGGATTCGATATTCCCATCGAAGAGCGACGTTGGGACCTGTTGTTCCCATTAAATGATGCTCATTTATTCTTCCATTGTTACGCACCTTTAGGGGTTTGTATTGCCCATCTGGAAAGTCTCCTCCAAAGAAATCCTTTTTCGTTCTCCTTTTAAAGCCAGTTGGCCCATCTCCATATCAGGGACAAGATGTTCCTGATCTGCGCCCATAAACGATAGATGTTGGCGGAGCAGTCGCTTTGATTGAGTTATTTAGATGCTCTTATTAATCGACACAATGATTCATGAATTCCATCGCTGGGTATGTAGGACACAAGAGCCAGCGCCAATGGTCTTCACCTCTCTGCTGGACTCTCATGGTGAGCATTAGCCTGCTAGCAGGATCTGTTGGAAGAGCTCTCCTAGCGTAGGGGAGCGCTTTCAGAGAGTCCAAAAGAAGCGGGCAAAGGAGTAATCTATCTCTAGCCCTAAGCTAAAAGAGAATTGCAAGCATCTTGGGAAACGGAATCCATGAACCCCCAGGAAAGGCGAAGTATATGTTTTTTCTCCCCTCTTCCCTCCTTCCCATGGTCTCTTGTATAAGCTCAGTCGAGGGGACTTTCGAAGTACTAATACAGAGCGAAGGTATATGTTTTCGTCAAGGTAGGGCCCTGGGTGACACTTTGATCTCCTTTCTGGTCCACAATGTCTACCTTGGTCTCCAAGACAGCGACCTTCATTGATAGAGTTCCTCTGAGACACAGCAACAGAGGGAATATCGTCGTAAGATTGTCGGCTATCTGATAGCCGGGCTCCATTAGGAACATCAGTGCACCCTCTTTGATAATAGCATTGACCGAAGAATACTGGAAGGCCAAATTTGAAGGTCTTGATAGCCTTCTTTAGATTAAGGATAGCGGGAGCCTTTGGGTCCATTTCTGTAGCAGAGCATAGTCCAAAATTATTCAAGCACGAAGTATGTTGATAAAATATGTCGAGGGGTATAGAGAAGGGAAGAAACATTGATTCTCTACAAAAGGCAGAAGCTAACTAAATAGCTAGTTGAAACCTGACAAACAAGGCACCTGTCAGATGGTCTGTCTCAACACAGATCAGGAGTAAAATATGAGGAGATCTTGGTAATGAGAGGGTGAGAACGGCTTTCAAACTTGAAGCCGCAGTGCAGTGCTTAGTAGTAGAAAGCACTTGATCCACGGTAAAAGGGATTGTTTAATCCTTGGAAGTCATCCATCACGGTGCCCGTCGTGCTAGACTATCGAAACCCCATGTTGGACGTCAGAAGTATAAGATAAGGCATAGGCAAGTCAGTAGCTTGATGTAGTCAAAGTTCTCATACTCTTACATCCAATAGGTGCCATGGTCTAGTGGTATGACGCTACATTGTGGTGAGCTACGTTGTGGAAACACAACTGCGCACAGCAAATCTGTATCAGCCCCAGTTCGATTCCGGGTGGCGCCATTTCTTTTTATTTTTTGGAGTATTTTTTGGATTCAATTTACTTCTAATATATATATATATGTAATTGAGTGGCAGTGAACACATATTAGAAATGGAATTGAACAGTTTGATCTCTCAACAACGGTGATTTATGGGGACGATTCAATGGCCGAATTTCTGCTGGAATATGAGAAGCTTAAGCGAAAAAAAAAAAAGACATCAAGAAGAGAGCTCGGTATTCTAAGCACGATAGACAAGAAGAATACGTGCCGCCTGTTTAGGCATTTTGGCAGGCTTCAACGGTACTTACTTACTTCTTGTAACATACATAGTATGTAAGTAGTTGGTTATAGTCTTTTTGGGTATTTTCTCACAAGTCTTTTCTCAGATACATAGCTCCTCAGATGTAATTATTTTGTTTTAGGAGGTTTCTTCCCTTCATGGGTATAGTTATTTGTAGGGAGAAGCGTTAGCCGCAGATACAAGATATAGGTGATAGACACAGCTTCGGGTGTTGCAAAACAGTTTCTCCCTTGCTGGCATTCGACATGAGGTAAAAGAAATCCCAAAAAAACTCCAAAATTAAAAAAAAAATGGCGCCACCCGGAATCGAACTGGGGCTGATACAGATTTGCTATGCGTGCGCGGTCGTGTTTCCACGACTTAGCTCACCACAATGTAGCGTCATACCACTAGACCATGGCACCTATTTTGGTGTAAAGAAGGCTGAGCTTGGTATTATGATCTGCTAATGGATCTTCCTAATTGGGTAACCATATCTCCTACCTGGACACCTCCTGGTCGTAGACGGGGATGGGGACGGGGAAAGACGTAAAATACAACACAATAAACTTATAGAGTATATATTTATAGAAATTCTCCAGAAAAAATAAACAACTTTCTATGATCAAAATGCAAGCTTTTCCACGACAAAGTATGTAAATCAGAAGTTGGCAGAATATAGAAAGAACATATAGTGGTAGAAGGTATGGCAGAACTCTCGTTGGGGATACTAATTTTTCAACTATGAGTCCTACTCCGTATAAATAAGCTATTATTTATGTTGTACAGGTTCCAGGGTCGGTTAACTATGGTTTAGACTTCTAGGTTTGTCGGCTGGATACCTATGCACCTCCGGTACTGTCTTTTTCTGTATTTATGGCTTTGGTTATATGGTCCAATCCTTACTACTTTGTAGGCTTATGAGCAGATTATATAGCCGAGCTACATGCTCGTTCTAAAGCACACACTCGTTTTACCTCTTGTTCTGTACTACTGAGCTTTTGGTATTAGTTCCCACCTGTCCTTCTTGTTCAACAGTCTACATAATTTCCATATATTGACTAGACTACAAATATAACCATACTGCTTACTCGAACTGAGTGATGGGGCTTTGATTTTATGAACTTTATACGTAGACGCATGCGATGTGTCGTCGTGGGTATACTATCGGACTAGATATATATAATTAACTCGGGCAAAAGGCTAACTATAATAATCCCCGCTACGGAGTAAAAATGATCTCTATACTACAACGGTAAGATTCCTGCCTGTTCTAGCATTATATACCGAGAAAGAATTATTTATTAACACTACCGTTTGATTTTTGTTAATAAAGGTCGTAGATGAAGGTGGAATAAGTAAAAACAAAAAGATATGATAAGAGTGGGATTTGAACCCACGCCTCTTGCGAGACCAGGAAACTATTGCTAGTTGTGGAGTCAAGGTATACCTTAACCTGGCGCCTTAGACCAACTCGGCCATCTTACCATTGGTGATATGATTGAGCATTATTACATTATAAGAGCACATTACCAGGGTTGTGCAAGGTGTGTTAGCCCAGGAGCCCAGGTTGGGTTGGTGCGATTTATTTTTAATTATTGATTATGTATCAACTCTCTCTTTTGCGGTATAGTTATGTACGTGATGGAAGGAAAAGGGTCCGTGACTTCGAAGGAGTGGCATTGATGTCTGAGGTCATGGGCAATATCCCATGTTGGACATGTCAAATATCAGATATTGATATGACGCAATGGGCATGAGCCAATCGGCCCATCAGTATACTATACGTGCTCCGTATACTCTGTACTTTGTACGTGGAGTCAATATGGGAACTTGTTTTTTATTGAATCTCCTGGGAAACAAAACTAGGAGTCAATTTCTACAATTAAAAAGGATCAGGAGCCCTTGCAGGATAATTATATAAAGGATAACTATACAAAGTAAGGCATCAAAATCAAAAGGGGTCTAAAACTCAAGCCCACTTTTCGTCAGAGCTTTGGTTTCCCAGACGCCCGGGCTGAGTCGGTTGCTATGCCAACGCCCCAATTTGTTGATCAGAACGGGTCTCACATAGATCTGGGTTCCAGAACCAAACCTTGGAAACACTTCATATCGGGGTGCTATTTCAAGTTCAATTCAGAATTGGAATTCTGAGCTGTGTGACTTTGATTTCACTTGAACTCTTGAACTTCACTTGATCATTTGACGCTCTAGGCTCTATCAACCCTCTTTCCCTGCTCCATTACTTTCATATTCACATACTGACACCTCATTCAGGACCAACCGTCAAGTCGGCAATATAGCCATGAACTCCGCGATGGGGAACGGTCGTCATCGCCGTCAAATTTCTACACCAGTGGCTCCATTCGAGCCCGCGCCAGTCATGACCAATATCCAACCCCGTCGGTCACATCGTCGAGGCCAGACTGTGGACTACAGCTCTTTTAGTCAACAGGCCACTATCGACCGACAAATGCCAAAGACGGTCTCGCAGTTGCGGGATTATTTTAACGAAAAATCAGGTTTCTCATATCAACAGAGGGATGTACAGCAGTATCAATCCTATGCCCAGCAGCCCGAGCGATCTTTCATTCCATCAGCTATGCACATCCAGCAGCCATATCAATATCAATCCCACCAGCCGCTCGGGTCTGACTGCCAGGCTTTCAACCAAGAACAATTGCAAGCGATTCACACCACCACTGGCAGCCCTGCACCCTCCTCCGTCGGTGCCCCGGCTTTGTCCCGATCAGCCAGTGAAAGCTCCGAAAACACACCATTGAAGCTTGCGCTGCACCGTATGCAGCAAGAACAATTCTCGAACCAGCAGCAACAACAGCAACAATATACTGGCAATGCTGATTGGGAATTGTTTCCTCAGCGCAACATGCAAATGGCCTCAAACGAGCAGGTGACGGCCTATGCCGGTCCAATGCACCCAGTCTCTGTTCAACCAAAGGCTCCATCTGCGAAAATCCTCTCGCAAATGTCTACTGCTTGTACGCATCTGTCGCTTCAATCTAACCCGACCGAAGCTAATTACATGGCAGACAATTCCCCCATGACCCCCGATTCTACCCCATTGAAAAGATCCATTGATTATTCCATGTATAGCAATGACCCAACATCCTCCAAGTCCCAAAGTTTTTCATTCCCCCATACCCCTGCCGCTGAGATGCAGAGAGCCCAGTCTTTGCAAGGACTCCCCTTTGTCAATTCTGTGCACATTAAGCAACAAATGCCCTCCCCCGTCAATTCCCCGATTAGCTCGTCTTTTACCGAAATTGCCGATATGCCATCCCCGAATTCATATGGAGTGACACCTCAAGACTCTAATGTCTCATTCTCATCTTCCACCGGCAGAACCAAGAAGCGAGCCCAGTCAACCGTGTCATCTTCCGCCGACGCAGCTGCTCACGATGATGACCTCGATGCTCGAGTCAAGGCCTCAGTCCAGCAAACCGGTGTTTCGACCGACGAAATCGCAAGGTTCATCTCCGGCCCCGACCCCAAAGATGGAAAGTGGGTCTGCCTATATACAGGCTGCCTATGCCGTTTCGGTCGTAAGGAAAACATCAAGTCCCACGTCCAAACACATCTCGGAGACCGCCAATTCAAATGCGACATCTGCGAAAAGCACTTCGTCCGCGGACACGATCTCAAGCGCCATCTTAAGACACACAGTGGCAACAAGCCCTTCGCCTGTGCCTGTGGCGCCAGCTTCGCTAGACAAGATGCCCTGACTCGTCACCGCCAGCGCGACATGTGTGTCGGAGGCTTCACCGGCGTGGTTCCAAAGACCACCAAGCGTGGCCGCCCCCCGAAGAAGAAGACCAGTCGCCCGGATATCGACACTCGCCAGGCCAAGTCTACCCGTACTCGTCAACGTGTTGCTGAAAAATCATCCTCAATCGCTCCAGCAAACACCCACGTCACTCTGCAAGAAGCTCCCGTGTTCAACTCGCCCAACTATGCCCCATCCAGTGCCGTCTCGTCCTTCACGCCGCCCACCTCCCCCGGAGACAGATACCATGCGATTTCCTCGCCGTGCCAGACATACACCTCTCTGGACGCCCAGCTCGAGGATGACATGCTGCCGTTGTCACCGCCGCAACTCGCGCATGCCAGATACGAGCAGGCAATGGCGCAGTACGGATCGAATTTCGGCTCGCAGACATACTCGCAGGAATCTTCGTACTCCCAGGAATCCCTCTACAGTGAATCTGCTCTCTCGCCTCGCGAGATGTCTTCCCCTCGCACGGCGCCTACTCTGTCTGAATCATCTGTCGGCTCGGATATCGATATTTTCATGACTCAAGATCCCTCCGACGACTTGCGAGAGGAGTTCGGCCATCTCGCTCACTCTGGCATCCCTGGTTTCCCGACTTATCAGTTCGTGGATACAAACGACTTCGCCCCTGTTTCGTCCTATTACCCCGGGAAGACCTTCTCTGGTCTTCCCAATTTGGATGATGACCTGACGGACCCGATTGACTGCTTGTCCAGCGAGTTCTTGGTCGACCCTTGAATGGATTTTTTTTACCAAAACAAGCACGGCGATATATACGGCACGGCTTATCATGTTCTACACGGCGAGACTTCTTTGCAACGATATGGGACGACCTTGTACACTTTAATGACCCACGAAAAAATCGGGAGTTTTCTTTCTCTGCACATTTCGGGATTTGACACGACTTTGCGGACTTGCGGGTGTTTTTGGGCTATTTGCTACCTTGCCCTTTATGCCCTGATTTCCCCCTGTATTTGTATTTGTGTTTTTTTTTTTTTTGTTTTTCTTTTGTCTTTTGATGACCGTTTCCTTGTTCACGTCCTTATGGCCCTGTCTCATCTCTTTGAAGATGTTCGATAAACAGCGGTGTGCTTATTCCCGGTGTTTACCATTCTTTTTATATGTTCTCATGATGCGATATGTATTTGATGTCTTTACTCTCAATGAATCTTTTCTGTACCTACCCTGTCAACAAAGCATTGCTGACCCGACGGAATATTTTCCTCCGGTGACAGATATAATTGCAGATAGCCTGTACTCTACCATTTCAAACTCGTTATGCCGATGCAGGTTTCTATTTGAAATTTCTAATTATCCTGTGTAAAAGAACCAGTGACCCATAATCCCCTGGCCCTATTCTATGCTGGGATTTCTGTACAACTCTATGACATCCCAGTAGGCCGACCTACTTCCCACTAGGGGCATAGCAAGGGATACAGTAGTAAAAAATAACCCTATCTACTTTGAAACCCAGGCGATCTCGATCTCAATAGGCCGTCCCCCTTGCGAAGCATATACAGTACTCTGTGTACGCCCCTTGGGTGGATTGGAAGCATAGAAAGCAGTGTGACCACTGTAAGCGAGCTTACCATCCTTGGCCTGTATGCAGTGTGAGAACATATCTTGTAAAAATATCTGGGATGTACATACGGTGAACTCGCTTGGCGTCTCGATGTGAGGCCCGCAAGCAAGGGCATCTCGCTCAAAGGCACAGGGCCCCTTGCTAGATTTCAGAGTAAATATGTCATCTGCAGCATAACGTTTACCTCATGTTAGTAAACAATAGCTGAGGCGTCATATGCGGAAAGCAAAGCTACGAACCTGATAGCTTCTCGGTATGGAAAGTTGCACAGGTGCCTGATGAGAACCAAGTTCCGTAACTGATGATACAGCCATGCTTTCTGTTAAGCCTCTCCACAATCAAGTTACCTCGGCCTGAAAACGGAGTCCCTGGCGCCGTGGGTTGGGGGTGACCGCCTGTGGTTGTCGGGGCAGGCTCATGCCGAGCATGCTTTAGTGGGTACTTAATTCCCTTGGAGGGGCAATTGGACTTCTGGCCATCTGGTAGTTTTGTAAGCTTGCAATTTATTTAAGTAGCTTTGAAGTTTGACTGACCTGGACCCGCAGAGAGGAACTTCCCCAATTGTAGACTTCCTGCGATATTGAAATAGTACCAAACCTCATTGATGGCACCATTTCGGCAACGAACAGTGACAGGGTTTCCGTGGGCTTGTTCCAGAGCAGCTTCAATATCGGCGAGAGCATAGGTATGTGTTTGAGATGGTACGATGCCAGCACTGGCCAGGAACTTATACATAGTTAGTCAGTCGTTTGATCCGAATATATAATCAATAATTGATCGAGACAATCAAACCAACCTCATGTGTAGGCAACTCCTTATAAAGCTCAACAGTTTTGTCGAAGTAGTCCACAACTTCCTGTTGTGGCAGGTAATCCTCGTAGCAATGTGGTTCCAGGGTGCTGACACAAGTGCCATGCTTGTTCCATTCATGTTGCCACAGGTTGTTATCGTCACCACGGAAATCCTTCCAATACTCGTCCATGAATTCGAGCAAGTCTGCCCGGCCCGCGTCGACTATAATCAGAGAAACGTTGCTGTACTTGCGTTTGGAGTCGCAGAATTGGTCAAAGCCGCCGTTGCAGTGATCGGGCCTGAAGAGTTAGATTTATATTCATTCAACGTGAGAATATAGTAAAAACTCACCATAATCCATGAATAGTCCATGCGTCTTCAGGGCCGAGTGCAGGGTCCACGTCCCAGAATTGTGTCTGCAGCATCTGGCCGCCGGGGTAGTTGAAACAGCAGGTGTCTTGACCGTGGTAATTGGCCTGGCAACTTATTTCTGAGCCAGGGCATGATGAGGAAGTTCCGGAGTTGATATTCTCATTTGAAGTTTGTGAAAGCCAGAGCGAGCCGAAGGTCTTGAGGATCTTTTGGGGTCCGGGGACCCCCATGAACTGTTGTGATGATCCCCGCATCATCAATGGCAGTCTTTTGCCGTGATCTTAGGGAGTACGCTTGTGAAATTGAAGTAGAGAAAGATTACAAGAGTAGACAAGTAGATAAGTACTAGGGCAGTCGTATTCAAATGAGGGATAAGTATGTTCAGGAGGCTACAAGAGTCATCGGGGTACTATCGGTCCATTGTTGCCTCGTGCGGAGTCCCATATGACTAAGCGCGGGGGCAGCTGATAAGGTCCCAGGGGTCATCCGGGTTTTGCTGACTTGCACGACAGCAGCCATGTTTTAGTTTGCACTCGTTTAAAGTTGAAAATGGTCATTCGGCGTAATATGGTTATATTCAGGAGTGGAGGGGTATCATAGTTGGTCACAGTAGGAAAAATGATCTCACCGAGCTTGTACCTGTTATTTCTAGGCTCAGGTGACTCTAGGCCTCCTGCTTGCGTGCCTCTTTAAGCGCCTCATTCTGTTCGTGTACTCTTTCTTTCCATAAACGTAGTACTTCAAAGCCAACCTCAACGGCAATGAGCAGAATGATAATCCATTCGAGCCGGAGACCATGTGTTTCGCTAAGGCGCTCCCGAAGTACACTTGCGATCTCTTGCGCATAGTCCATCTTCTCGTTCAGTAGTTTGATGCGAATTCCAACGTCTAAAGCTCTGCCAGCCTGCTCGTAGTATCCCTCCAAGCCGAGCTCGTGTCGGCTGTCCCAAAAGATATCAGGAAGGGAATCTGTGAGCTCTGAGTAAAGATTGAGCTGCGCTCGGACACTTAGTAACTGCCCTGTCTTGCGGAGGATAAAGTCCCGTGTAAAAGGAAGACGGGATCCCTGTGATAGCAGAGTCGGAATTGGCCGAGTCGATTCAAAATAGTTCGAAAGAAGGCTCTCGAGAACGGCCAACTTCGTACTTCGAGCGAGACCTGACGAAAATGCAACCTTGGTCAACACCGTGTTGACGGACTGTTGCGCCGTTGGTGATCTCTCTGCATCTCCGTGACCAGAGTTGGTCCCTAGTATAATTGTGTCCCCTTTGATCACACTGTTCTCCCGCTTCGGGTCCTCCACGAATTCCAGATCCTCGGTTTCCAAGTCATCCACATGGGCACCTTCTGCTGCAGGTAAGAGAGTTCGTGTTGCCAGGAACGACGTGAATCCTTCTGGAAGTGACCACGCTACCACTGTACCGGAGGGAAACACAAATAAATCGCCCACTTCGTCGGATGGTAGATCTGTGCTAGAGGGATTCGTCATGCGCTGTATGGAGTCTAACGGTATCTGAACATGAACGACTTGCGGGAAGAGTCCTGTTTCCAATGGATCCGGTTCATATCCTCGTTCTTGTAAAATATCTCTGACTTGGCGGATGTTGAATTGCTCGGCTACGGCGTAGGCGGTCACTGTCTAGAGACGCAAAAATAATCAGTAGAAGAAAATTATAGGAAATTCCAGTTATGCCCACCTTAGTCCGATATAGCCCCTGCTCTTTGAGGAGCACCTTGGAGAGAATGCCATCCTTCGACCTCTGTGCCTCTACCGCTACTCGCCGCAATGAAGTGGGAGCTGCTGGTAATCTAGGGCCCCGTCGACGTTGCTTCTGAGAATCAGAAGAGAACTCAATTGGTTCATCGCCGTTCTGTTTTTGTTTCAAGTGGGCATTGGATGAGAAGAAATCCTTTCGTCGAGGAAGTGCCAATGGAGAAGAGGCATGGAGGTATTGGGTCTGCGGCCGCGTAGAAAGCCGTAATACTGGTCGCTTGCAGCTCAAGCAGACGTATGGTCTGGCAAACATTGTGTGTGTCCGAGAAACAAAAAGCTCCTGGGATCAGTGGCTCGGTCTATGACATCGTTTTGCAGCCCGCGGCCCGATACCCCGCTTAGTCATGGAACCAAGCTCGGGGCCCTGACCTACCCCGGCTCATCTGTAGAACCACAGAATACCGTTTCCAGCTTGTCGCATTCCACTTCAACCAGTTTGGGAGCTGTAGGTGCTGAGAGGGATTCGCCATGGACGCGCCTGGCGCGACACCGCCGGACGAAAGTGCCGTTCAGAGCACTCCCAAGCACGACACCCCCATACGAACCACATCACCTACAGACACGACTCAAGACGCCCAAGATAGACACCAACGATACAATGACCACAACTCTAGTAGCAGTGACGATGGAGAAGAAGAGGGGGAGGTTGAGGAAGAGGATGACTCGGACGAGGAGGACGAGGAGCCCCGCCTCAAGTACGCATACCTGACGAAACACTTGGGATCAGTATATCGCAATGGGGATGCGACAAGCTCGTTTCTTGTAGCAGGAGATAAAATGGTACGCATTTTCAAATTATCAATGGAATATATACTATATAATGAGCTAACGATATGCCTAGATCGTTGGGACACACAACGGGAACATCGTAAGTTAGCCACACCAGTGCGCAGACATATGAGCTGACATTGTCAAGCATGTTATGTCCTTGCCGCATCTACAATCCCTCCGTGTATACCATGCACACTCAGCAAGTGTCACCTCAATATCGATATCGCCATTTCCACCTCCTCTCCCGAACCTCAAAGATACCTTCAGCAAGCAGACCGTGGAAGAATATAGACCATCCACGCGATCATCTAGTACTACCGGCAGTATCCGTGGCCATGGAAAACTGGGTAATTATTCAAGCGTCCCTTCCATACCATCGAACTCAATTTACATCGGAACCTCCTCAATCGATGGCCATGTTTGCGTCTCGTCGCTGGTAGACCCCAAGGATGTGCTATTGCGCAATTTTGGCCGCCCGGTTCAGTCTATTGCTTTGTCTCCAGAGTACAAAAGTGATCGGTCATACCTGTCTGGTGGCCGAGCGGGCGAATTGGTCCTGACGACTGGCGGTCGTATTGGAGCGACCTCGAACTCTACAACAATGGGGGGCGCGGCCGCCACAGCGTCAAGTTGGCTTGGATCCATGGGCCTGGCATCTAATAGTGGAAAAGATACAATTATCCACAGCGGTGAGGGGACTATAAGCACAATTAAATGGTCACTTTCCGGAAAATACGTCGCCTGGGTCAACGAGGAAGGCATCAAGATTATGCGGTCAAATTTGCATCTGGATTCTTCAGAGACAGAATTTGCCTGGAAACGAATCAGCCATATTGATCGTCCAAATCGTCCCGGCTGGGATGAAATGGCCGGTGTTTGGAAAGCACGCGCAGAATGGATTGACCAGTCTGCTTTAGACAGTCGGGATAATCTCGATCCAAATGACAATCAAGCAAGTCCGGAGATACAGTCGACCTTACCCGCCGAGAAAGTGGAAAAGCTTGTCGTCGGCTGGGGAGGGACTGTCTGGGTTATTGATGTCTACCACGACAGGGCAAGCAAAACATCCAAAGGCGAGAAATTGGGCTCTGCAGAGGTTGTTACAATGTAAGCCGGAATTCTCATGGATTGAATCGCTCATCGCTAACTTGAACATAGATTACGAACAGATTGCGTGGTATCTGGCATCTCATTGTATACGCCTCGTCTTCTTGTCATTCTCGCCTATATGGAAACTGAAGGTGAAGCTACAAGTAATGGAAGAGGAAGTGGGACCCGCAATCGAAAAAAGGGCCTGGAGCCTGAACTTCGTGTCATTGACATTGAAACTAAGGAAGAAATTAGCGCTGATACACTTTCAATTAATCGGTTTGAAGGTCTCTCGGCGTCTGATTATCATCTAAGTGTCTTGCCTCCGTGGAAGACTCCAGAGGGACAAGTCGTCCAGCGTGGTGCCTTGGGAGCTCTTGGGTATGGACTTTTGGATGCTACTATGTACTCCGCGCGGCTATTCAGCTCTGGTGCCAGCATTCGCAGTACCACAAGTAGTGGCGACAAGGGGTCTGCTAAAGTTCCTCCCTCTTTCATATCAAAACTTCGCGCGGCCGAGGATGCCCTCCCGAAGGAGGTGCAGGAGGTTTCAGGTGCTCCTGGCGCCAAGATCTTTGTCCACAGTCCATATGATTGTGTTGTTGCAGTCAAAAGGGATCTTGCCGACCGTTTGTCCTGGCTTGACTCTCAAGGCCAGTACGAGGACGCATGGAATCTCGTGGATAAGCATCCTGAGGCTGCGGGGTCGATACCCGACGTAACTGAAGCTGTTTCTGAGCTTGCAGGAAGATCCCAAACCAGTTTAGGTGAATTTTTTGCTGATGATCGATCGTCTATCATGACGGCTGGACGGACAAAAGTTTCTGCTGCCGAACAAGAAAAGGCTCGCCTTGGGGAGCTTTGGATCAACCAACTTGTCAGCGAAGAGAAGTGGATTGACGCTGCAAATATTTGTGGCAAAGTCATCCGTAATGCCCCGCGATGGGAGCACTGGGCATGGACCTTTATCAAAAAAGATAAAATCGACGAGATCACTTCCCACATCCCGGTTGACTTAAATCCATCGTTGTCTTCTCAGATTTACGAAGTCATTCTCACTCACTATGTGTCACGAGACTTGGCCAAATTCAAAGAACTGATCGAAACATGGCCGTCCGATTTGTTTGATGCGAATGTGGTTACAGAAGCCATCGAAACACAGGTGAAATCCGCACCAGTGCGCGCCGGGTCTGAGGAGTGGCGAATCCTCACAGATTGCCTCGCCAAGTTGTTCCTGGTAGGAGGGCATTACCGTGAAGCCTTGCGCTGCTATATTCGATTGCAAGATGGAGATGCTGCTATGACTTTGGTTCGGGAGCACCGCTTGCTCGACGCAGTGACTGATGATATACCGGCCTTCATTATGATTCGCGTTTCCAAAGAGCAAATGAAGTCAGCCACGAAATCTGAACTGGAGGAGTTGACATCTGAGCCGACACGACTCCTTGTTAGCGAAGCATACACGGGAATTGTTCCCCCAGATACAGTGGTATCACAGTTAATCGCCGCAAACCGGTTCCTGTTCCTTTATTTCTATCTCCGTGCGCTTTGGCGAGGCGAATCATTACCGCACGACGCCTCTAAGCCCAGAAGAGGACGTGGAGTTTATGCTCGAGATGCAGCTAGCAAACTTGCTGCCGATGAAGGCAAAGCCCTGATTGATAACTTTGCCGATACGGCTGTTGAGGTATTTGCCGACTACGACCGGCCTCTACTGATGGAGTTCCTCCAAACAAGCATATCTTATTCATTCGAGAAAGCCACCTCCATCTGCGAAGACCATAAATTCACACCGGAGCTGATTTTCCTCTTGTCCAAGATGGGCCAGACGAAGCGAGCCTTGAACCTAATTCTATCAGATTTGAAAGATGTTTCACAGGCCATTTCATTTGCAAAATCGCAGGAGGATCCCGATCTGTGGGAGGATCTGCTTGATTACTCTATGGACAAGCCAAAGTTCATCCATGGTCTTCTTGTTGAGGCCGGAACGGCCATCGACCCGATAAAGCTTGTGCGTCGGATCCCGAGCGGGCTGGAGATCGAAGGACTAAGAGAGGGCCTCACTCGCTTGATCCGCGAACATGATCTGCAGGCTAGTATCAGCCAAGGCGCGGCTAGGGTTATGCAAAGTGAAGTTGCACTTGGGATGGACTCATTGCGCAAAGGTCAGCGGCGGGGAATCAAGTTCGATTTGATTGAGGACCCAGAGGAAGATCTCAATAAGACACCGACAGCGAAGACCCAAGCTCAAGATCAAATATCCAAATCCAGTGGCGCGAGGAAATTCGAAGCTCCTGGAAAGGGAAGATGCGGTGGTTGTAACGCTGCTTTCCGGGAAAACGGTATGATTTTGACCCAACCCTAACCCCATTCCATATTTTATCCTCGGAAGAAAAATGCTAATGATACCCCTGCCATAGAGCGAGAAATCCTCGTGGCCTTTGCTTGTGGCCATATCTTCCATCTATCTCACTTGCACCCAGATACACCGCAACAATCCGGCACGAATAGCCGTGATAGATCTGCAGATCTTACACCCCGAGCTATGTCTCCAGTGGACGAGACTCGATCTCCCACCGCGTCTCGCACCATTGGCCCCAAAGTCACGACGGCAAGAATACTGCGAGACAAGATCGGCGATGGATGTCGGATCTGTGCTGTGACGAGAGATATTGAATCCCTTGGTGGTGAGGTTGAAGTTTGAACTCTGTTGGGGTAGGGACATCTGTACCCATTCACGTCTGTCCTGTGTGTATACTCCATGTGCACATACCTATGCATTCTCCTTGTTTCTCTGAGATACCCTGGCTTTTAGCCAAGCTACTGTACCCATTTGTTGGGGATATGAGCGTTCATCCATCCTGTGAGGTTGTCACACTGGCCATTGTTCATGTGATAAAGATGTGTGTTATGTTTAATGCTTTGGCTACTCACTACATACGTATTACGTTCTGTTTATTTGCACCTAGGTAGTAGTATTTGTTTAGTAGTCGAAATATAACTACCCGAAACCACTATTCGGTCGGCTCTTGTGTCCTTGGATTTCTTTTCAGTTGCAGACTACGGATTACAAGATACTTTAATCTCTTCCAAGGTTTATCCATCACTTAGACATAACCAATAGTGAACATTTCTGAAATTAGAAAAGCTATGCTTCAACTAGAATATGAGTCACTGATAAAATTTGCAAAATTAAGGGGAACCAGTTGCATCCCATAAGAAATAACCGACCACCCATAACAACCATGGGTTCCTGAAATTCCATCATGAACACCATCATCGCATCAAGTGCTATCCTTGCTACATCAGAAGATGGCTAGACTTGCCTCCTAACACGGTAAGAGTGTGTGTGGCATTCTCACATAATCATGTGAAAGATGTGAGAGAACATAATCAAAATGCTCATGGCAAAGAGACCACAGTCCGTGATTCCAGCGGTGTTGGCACCGTTGAAAATAGGAGAAGGGGAGATTGTGCCACTGGAAGAAGTACTGTGAGGAGATGGTGGGACAGTATCCTTCTGGGTGTGGGTAAGCTGCTGAGGAGGCACAACTGAAATCTTGGGCTCGGTTGTAGTACCCTGTTCAGTAGGAGGAGCCGGAACCTTGACCAGAGTAGTAGCCTCGACAGTGGTAGCATGTGGAAGTGGGACCAACTCAGTTGGGTTGATCTCAGTAGTCACCTCGTGAGTGGGAGCCTGCGGAACTGGAGCAGGAACAGACGGCTGGATAATAGTAGTGACAAGCTTGGTGGTCTCCTGGGGAGGGGCACCAGGAACAGTTGGCCGGATGACAGTGGTCACAAGCTCAGTGCTAGTATGCGGAACGGGGACAGGAGCAGTAGGCTGAATGACAGTAGTCACAGTCTTGGTTATCTCCTGGGGAGGGGCACCAGGAACAGTCGGCTGGATCACGGTAGTCACCACTTCTGTGATGGTCTGCAGAACAGGAACTGTAGCCGGGATTGGAGTCACAGAGATGGTAGTAGTCTCCGTAGGGGTGGCGGTATAAACCTTGGTACTGATGCATTTGGTGGCCTCGGTGCAAGGAATGTCGACCGTGACAGTGATCAGATCAGTGGAGACTGAGACAGGAGCGGGAACAGTGGTTGTAGTGGCCTGTGGAGTGACAGCCGGAGCAGTTGTCTTCAAGACTGGCAGGGTGCTGGTGGTAAGAACCTTGGTACTGACACACTTGGTGCTCTCGGTGCAAGAAATCTCAACGGTGATAGTGATTTCAGTGGTCACTGGAGTAGGAGCCAGCTCAGTTGAGTTGGCGTGAGGAGATATGTAACCACTAGGCACAATAGACACAGTGCTAGGAGCTTGAGGAACAGTTGAGTTCGTGTAAGCAATTCCAGTAGTACCAGGGACAGGAACCACCTTGGTAGGACGAGAAGATGTAATTGACTCAGTAGTCACCTCAGAGGGGGAAGGGCAAGGCGAAGAGATCGTCTCGGTAGTCACTTCGGTAACCGTGCCAGGACTCGTAGACGTGGTGTGGTCCACAGCAGTGGTGGCAGGAACAGGAACCACGCTGGTAGCATTGAGACTTGTTGTCACCTTAGTGACAGTACCAGAAACCGTGGAACTGGTGTGATCCTCAGCAGAGGTAGCAGGAACAGGAGCCACGCTGGTAGTATTAGGGTAAGATGAAGAAATTGACTCGGTGGCAGTGGCAGTAACCGTGGAAGATCCAGTATTGGTCACAGAGCTACTTCCAGTAGGAACCTCAGTAGTACTTGGCACTGGGGTCTCAGCGGTTCTAGGTACGGAAGACTTGCTGGTCACAAAAGTGGTGCCAGGTACAGAAGTCTGCGTTGTACCGGGTACAGAAGAATTGGTGGTCACCTTGGTAGCGCTGGGGACAGAACTGTGAGGGACAACAGGCACAGACGAGTAGGTAGTCACCTCAATAGTTCCAGGAACAGAACTGTGAGGATTGGTAGGCACAGATGATTGGGGGGTCGCCCCAGGAGTGCTGGTAATAGAAGTCTGGATGGTGACCGGAACAGTAGACTGAGTAGACACCTTAGGAGTGCCGGATACAGAAGTCTCTGTGGAGGCCGGAATAGATGACTGAGTAGACACCTGGGGGACGCTAGACACAGAAGTCTGACTGGTGACAGGCACCAAGGTCGAGGAGGTAGTTGGCACAGTAGACTGAGAAACTCCAGGTGCAGGGGGAGTGACCTGAGCGGGGACCGGAGTAGTAGACTCAGTGGTGAGAGACGTGGTGCACGGAACATCAGTGGTGACCGTTGTGGTTGCTTCGTGACCGCAAGTAGTGTGTGTGACGGTGACGGTGACTAGTATCAAGTTAGATTTTGGCGTGAAAAGTCGAGAGACTCGACTTACTCAGTTCCGCAGCGTGGACAGCACGACCGAACAAGGCCCGAGGCAAAACATTAACTGGAAATTGATCAGTAATGGGATATTTTAAGGTAGACCCAGGTCGTGACTTACTCTCTCCAAACTCGTACTGCTCTCCAGTACGGGGGTCCTGAAGGAAGACCGTCTCGATGTCGTGGCATTCTGTTTGGCGACAAGGTTAGTGAGTGATCATAATACAGCCAGTTATGGGCCATGAGACATACCAGCCGAGGCAGCAACGATGGTCACCAGAGTGGTGACCATGACCAGAAGCAACTTGAAACGCGTCCAAGTTGCCATCTTGGCGAGGACAGAGGTTTGTGAACGAATGTAAAGTGATGACTTGATAGAATAACCAAGCAATCGATGAAAAACGAAGGTCAAAGTGGAAAAAAGGAAGCGAGCGTGAGGTGGAGGAAGAAAGAAAGAAGAGAAAAAAAAAGGGGAGTCGAAGGGAAGAAATAGTAAATAAAGTGAGAGCGTGTTGAGGAAGGAACCCTCCAGTGCTGATTGCCCGTGACGACCAGCACTTGCCCCTGGTTTCTGATTATATACGTGCCTTCCATATTTGCCCAAGTGAGGCAAATGTACAAGGAAGTCACGACTTCCGCTCACAGCTATAGTGAAGATACTTGAGAAGTACGCCCTGGGATATCTAATTTGAGCACACCTCTATGTACGACTCGAATAGAACCTTAAGATGGGTGCATCGGTAACTATAGGGGTGCAACATGAGTGAGACAGTCTAAATCTAGTTCATCAACTGAGGTGGATGCTAAAAAAAAAGGGCCCTTTGCCTAACATCGGGGGGTTTTCATTTAGAAAAATCATGCCGTGGACTACAAAAGAACTCCGTGTCTGGCTTTGACAGATGGACCAGGTTAAAACCAGCCCCCTTAGGATTATCGGAAGAACAGAACTTTTTCTATTAAGAGGCTGGGGTATCACAGAAAATAGTCAACGTGCCACATTAACAAGAGCAGAAAGGCAAACAGGCATAGCTCTGTTTGCTATAATGGTCAGGCCATGGTCTCGAATGAAGTTTGAATATAAGACAAAGTAGCAAAACATTGAAAAACATTGCAGGGATGTTAACTTTCATTGCCTTGGAAGTAACAACGATGAATTATCATTTGGCATGACAACCTAAATATAGGACACTACAAGAAGGTCAAGTGCAGAAGGATGTCACTTGAGCCTCGAATTTATTGATTATCAGTAAGTCTAGACTGGATTCTTATTTCAACTTAAACATTAGCCCTATATTAGCGCAGATGATGATATATGTTAATACTGTCAGGGGAAATGGTGACACGACTTAGAGCACGATTTTATCAGGCGAAATTGGAACGGCATAATCATACAATCCATGGATCATGGATACATGTCTCATTTAAACCTCATAAGATATCAAGTGACATCCAGATTAAGTGCAACCTCTAGTTATTATAGACACAAAGTATGTTTCCCTGCCTAGTCAGATCTAAATACCCACTTTAAAAGTGACAAATGCTGATCAGAGTCCCAGTAAATATAATCCGTCTCAAATTGTATATTGTACAACTAGTCAGCCATCTTCATAGCCAGCTACTCTGTAGTCAAGGATGGACAAGGGTCTTCAAATAGGGATCGCCCGGATTTCCCCCAACTTTTCATAACTCTATTATGTTAAAAGAGGCAATAGAAAACCTGGAGTAAATTTTCTTCCCCATGCGAATTTCTCCGAAGCTGGGCCCAATTTCCTTTAATACAAGGGAATGAACAGTCCAAATCTGTGTGGAAACGGAAGTGGCTATAGCCCTGCATGTGGGGTAGATATATATGGTCATTTACCAATGTGGGGAGAGCTCTTCACTGTCCCAACTTCTCCATAATTGGTGGGGTAAATGAAAACCACTTCCGGGTGGAATGACTCTGGATGAAAATATAGACATCTCTCAGCGATAATCAAGGAGGTGAGATAATAGACATACACTTGGTCTTGACTGTGGCCGTGCAATTTCAGATGAACAAGATATACCCCACTCCAATCTGAGTCCATTTATAAAGGGCGGAAAGTCGCCGCGAATACATTCCCCCTTTTTTTGTAATAAAATTACTTGATCCTAGTATATACGGCCTGAAAGATATTGAAGCCAAAATGACAGTTGCTCACTATGTTCTTCACCATCCCCTACTTGGCGAGTTCCGTGGACAAGAACACGACTCGACTGTAGAGTTCCTTGGAGTGAAATACGGAACTTTGGAAGGAAAGTTTTCTCCGCCGATCCTATACCATGGGGATAAAAGCGATATCGTGGATGCTACGAAACTAGGGTATCAAGAATACATGTGATTTCGACCTGTGAATGTGTACTAATATTTGTCTGAAGTCCCGCATCACCATCGCCAGCCGATGGAATTGAAATGGAATTTTCGCTTATTCAGCAATCTCTCCCTCGGCCTCATATTGAACAGTCCGAGAAAGACTGCTTGAATCTGAACATTACTGCTCCTAAAACAATTTCAGCTAATCTTCCAGTCGTGGTATTCGTCCATGGTGGTGGATTTTCGATCGGGTCAAATGCCTGGCCAGAATATAACTTCCGCCGTCTCGTGGACCTCTCTATTGAGGAAGGAAGCCCAATAATTGGTATCAATATCAAGTACGTTTATAACGATTCTTTGATCAATCAGATAAAGTGGCTCATGTATGTCAACTTCTAGCTATCGACTTGGTCCATTCGGATTTCTCCACTCTGCCGAGCTAGCTAAGTTCGGAGGGGGTCAGAATAATGGTCTTCATGACCAACAAATTGCGCTTCTTTGGATACAGAAATATATTGCTGGCTTTGGCGGAGATCCCAACAATGTCACCTTCGTTGGAGAAAGCGCCGGTGGCGGTATGTATACTATCATAAGCTTATGAACTATATCTAATGCCTCTCACAGTTTCCGGAACTCATCACCTACATTCCAAGGTCCCGTTGTTTACGAGACTTGTCAGCATGGGAGGCACAAATCTTCTGATAAAACCAGTACCAGAGATTGTAAATGAGCAAACATATGGACAATCTTTACAATTGTTGAACCTTCAAGATTTGCCAGCCGAAGGTCGTGTCAAAGCATTGGAGGCCTTGCCGGCGGAAAAGATTTTGGCATCTTTGGTCCCTGACATGGCTTTTATACCTAGCTCTGGTGGGGATCTCAACCTGCCAACTAACAACTTTGAAGAGCTTTATCTTGGCCAGTCTGAGGGCACCACGCACCCAGGAAAGTCTTGGTGCAAGGAGATCATGATTGGAGATTGCCAGATGGATGTGAGTCTTCCAATCTTCAAACAATACCAAAAAATACTGATGCTGACATTAATTAGGGGAGTATTCTTCTTACAATGCTTGGTTCTATCAAGCCGGGCATCTTCCAACAATTCAAAGACTCCATTGAACGATCTCTAGACGCTGATAGCGCGGCATTGATACTCCAAGCTTACGGAATCACCGAAACTGATCCCAAAGAAGATACCCTGGCGAACATCTTGAAGTTTGGTAATGACATCAACTTCCTCGCTCCGGTCTTAGTTTACGCCCATGGCTGGGATGGAAATGCATTCATGTACTTTTTCAATGAACCCAACACATGGGATGGCCCGTGGAAAGGCTATGCCAATCACATCTTGGATGTTGCCTACCTGTTCCAAAACTACAATGAGGCTTTGACTGAAGGCCAGCGCCAGACAGCTGTCATTTTCGGAAAAGATCTAATCAGATTTGCAAATGGCAAAGCTCCATGGCCTGTGTTTGACTTTGCTGCGGAGGAGCTTAATGCCAGAGTATATGGCTCGAAAGACCTCGAAAAAGTCACGGCTAGAGTCGACACTACCACAGGCCCCAATGAGAGAACTGAAAGACGACAGACCATCTTCCAGCTTTCCCAGACCATTTATTTGACCAAACTGTCTGATGCATGGGATTCATTCATGATAGGCAATTGATGATCGGACTCGAATCACAATTTGGAATGTGAGAGCTTCCCAAGAAAGTGTGGAGATCGATAGTTCCGGGTGCACCTTCGAGGGAGCTAGATATAATATATTACCCCAGATACTATTCATCTCCCCGCTTGATAGTTTTTAAATCCCTGTAGGAAATATTTGACATGTCTATATTGGCGAAAAGCTTATAATTTATACATAGTCGAATGACCAAAGTATGCGGCTCCTAAGATTCCGCCTTTATATATACTCGGCCCAACACACGGCCTAACTCCCTTCGTAGTTAAGCTCTATATTAAATACACTAGTCTAGAGGGCAACTACGCAGGGGAGAATGAGAGCCGATATTGACCAAGTATTTCGAATAGTGGAGCCGTTAACAATGGGACAGCTCAAGATCAACTGCGGGGTTTCCGGGGAGATGCGTGTGATCGTCTGGTAGATCAGACCAACCTAGGATAGCTAAAAAATAGATACTAGTTCTGGGATTTCTCCTTTACACAATAGAACTTTTCTCATGAGGTCTCCTTTTTTTCTAGCCTTGCACCTTGTAGGCTCAACAATTTGTCATCCCTGAGGGACCTCAGGAACCCCGACCCACTGACTAGTTAGCCGGAGCTAAATCTGTCCATTGCACCAAACATTTTCAGCTTATACTAGTCGCAGAAACAATGTGGCGATATGTCAAATGTGGGGAAATTCGGGGGATACTGGATGTGGGGTAGAATAAACCGGGTAATGCGACTATTGAACTGGTAAACAAGAGGAATAGTACCGACAATACATGGCTGATTTCTCTTTATTTATAGCAGGCTCCTCAGAGCGCGTACATTTCAAACGTCAACTTTGAACCAAGACCTCCATCATCGCCAGACGACATGGCTTCAACCAAACTACCGATTCGCTACCAGGATCCCGAGTATCAGGAAACTCACCGAGCAGTGTTTCAAGGATCTTTGACTCGGCCATTGAAGCAGGTGCTGCCACCAGGCGTAACACATGCTGACTTCAAGCTTGCTATTGAAGAATTTGTACGTGCGCTTGGTCCCGATGGAGTCATAGTTGGCGATGCCATATCGGACTACGTCGATCCATATGAGCTGTACGAGGACAATGAGTCGGAGCGGAAAGTTGCGAGCGCGGCTGTACTGTGAGTTGGTTCTGCTCTGGCCCCCAGTCTGCATATCATTAACAATTTCACACAGCCCTCGATCAGTCGAGGAACTTCAATCAATTTTGAAAGTCGCCAATAAGTACACTATTCCATTGTGGACATTTTCGCGGGGAAAAAACCTTGGGTAAGTCAAGATTCTTTAGTCTGTAGTAACACGTCGATTGGTGGGTGCTCATGCAATGATTATATATGGTGGACCAGCGCCTCGGGTGTCAGGGTCTGTTGCAGTAGATCTACACCGGATGAACCACATCATCGAAGTCAACGAAGAGTTTTCATATGCTGTGGTGGAGCCTGGTGTGACTTTCACCGATCTTTACAACTACTGTGTTGAGAATAAGCTATCTGTATGGCCTAGTGTCCCATCTCTTGGCTGGGGTAGTGTCGTGGGAAATGTAAAGTCTCTTCCGAATGATACAGAGAAAAAGATATCTAAAAATTGCTATAGACACTCGATCGAGGCACCGGTTTCACCCCAACCGCAACCCACCACCAGAACATCAGTGGATTGGAGGTTGTCCTGGCAAATGGAGACGTTGTCAGAACTGGCCAATTCGGGATTTCAAATTCAAAAGCAGCTCACCTGTCCAAGTTCTCTTTTGGTCCATCAATTGAAGGCCTTTTCCTTCAGAGTAACCTTGGAATTGTCACTAAAATGGGAATTTGGTTATATCCTCAACCACCTGCGTACGCATCATGCACGATCGACTTGCCAAATTTGGAGGACGTGGAACAGCTCGTTGATCTCTTCAACAAGTTACGCCAGAACGGCGTTGTCCCCAATACCTTCTACGTCTCATCTCTGACAGAATTTGTTGCAATGACAGGGACGCGGGAAAAGGCCTGGTCTGGACAAGGCCCAATCCCTCTTTGGCGTCTTCGTGAGTTGCAGAAAGAACTAGATGTGGGATTTTGGAATGGAAAGTTTGGTCTTTATGGTCCACTTGAGGTGGTGGAAGGCCATGTGCAGGCAATCAAACGTCTCGCTGCTGAACGCCTTCCGACAGCTCGTTTCCAGAGCAAGGTATTCAGCGGTAAAGATGGAAAGCCTCTGAAAGCAGAGGATGTGCCACCCGAGGAAGGTGGATTATTCGTGGGCGTTCCCTCATTATGGAGCTTGCCCATGATCAAATTCAGACTCCCTGAGAAGGGTGGTGGTGTTGCTGGTCATATTGACTATTCTCCTATCATTCCGAGCTCAGGAAAAGCCGTTCTGGAGTGGGTGAAACTTTCACAAAAAATCTGCGAGGACAATGGCTTTGATCTTTTCTGTGATTTCTTCATGCACGAGCGCCATGTCATCTTTGTCAACTTCATGACCTTCGACAAAGCTAATCTCACCCACCGCGTATCCATGAAGGAGATTTTCCGTGGACTGCTCAAGGAGGCTAAATCCCGAGGCTACAGTGCCTATCGAACGCATTTGAATTTCATGGGTAAGACAGCGAAAGGAAAGCCAACTTGAAGTAATGGTTACTGACCTAATTTTCAGATGCTGTGGCTGATTTCTACGACTTCAACAATTACGCTTATCGTCGCTTTGTGGAACACCTGAAGGTATGTCATTAAGTCTCGGAATATATAATCATTTGCCAATCAGTCTACGGGTCTAATATTATGCTATTAGGATTCTATCGACCCTAAAAGCATTCTCTCTCCAGGCAAGCAGGGGATTTGGGGTCGTCGGTTCCGACGAAACGATAAGCTCCGGGGCCTTCTTTGAGTCCTGATATATACTACATTGATAGCACAAGTTATTTCTAGCCAGTCAAGTCAATTCTCACTATTTTAGTGTCCAAATTATCTCACTTCATTTCTTTATTACCCTTTTATCATATTCCGTCATACTCATATAGAAAACGGTAATCTTCGAATGTGCTGGCATTTTCGTTTCAGCAAGGCATATCACATGTTCGGTTGTCACACATTTTTTTTTTAAACATTCAAATCTTAATATACCTGATCAGAAATTATGGAGAGATACTAATTCCCTTGCCGTGGAAGCTCTACAGGCTTGGTGATACAGTCCACCAGGGGGTTCTGAACTTGTTTGAACTTTGACCAGCAAGGGCTACTACTACATGTTGATGTGATTAGCGCCTAGTAGCAAAGTATCTCTCATGGCTCTCTTATGCTACGGGCCTTGATAGCTGGCCTATTCTGATAAAATAATTCCTAGTGAAAGACGCAGACTTGATTGAAGCATTATTTGAGTGAATTTCATTGATTGATTATTTACTATAGGCTAGCTCAGATTTTCCACACTAGGTACAAGTACAGCCCATTGGTAGCAAAATATCCCGTCAATTACAAATTTGTCTTCGCAGAGTGATAATGCTGAGTAAAGTCGTACTCAATTGAAAATGCACCCTGTCTAAGTATATCTCGCGTTGCAGAATCCGTCTCGGCCTTTTTGACGAGTTGAAGGAACCCGTCCCTCTGCATGATCGTATCGGGGTCTTGGTCAAAGACACGTCGAAGGTTCTCGCTGGAGATTGGGTTGATGATTTTGTTGTACTTTTCCCGCCGTACTTCGTCATAAAGTGTCAAGATGCTCTCATCAGCTTGTCCACTGTATACTCCAAAGAGACAGTCATATAGCCCCCCGATATCGACGATCCCCCCAGTCAGACCAAGACCACCGAAGGGGTTGCACACTGTGCACCAGTTATTATCATGTAATTTTAAATCTTGACTATAGGAGACATACAATGAGCTGCATCGGAAGCCAACAGTATACGACCAACCCGCATCTTGGTGGCAATTCGTTGATGAACTTTATAAGGACTGAAGTTGGCGAGCTTGTAGTCCTCCGGATTAGGATGGCCTGGTAGCATGGTCTTAAACTTCATGGGTTGTCTTTCCTTCAACTGCTCTGGCGTTAAGCCTGGCAGTTCGCCGTAAGTTACGCGCCACAAGCCATCGTCGGTGATCCGCGCGATCATATGGTAATGTTCGGGATGAATGATGAAAGTCGAGTCAATGTCGACTCCATGTTTCTCGAATGGATAATAAACCTAATTCCAGATAATCAGAACTGATGATCTAATTTATTGAGGAGTAGATACCTCACATTTGTCGCCACAAGCTGCTCTTCCCAAGTGAATCCGTCAAAGCCAGCATTGGTAAACAGAGACCGGCGGACTATGCTACTAGCACCATCACACCCCACAATGTACTGCGCATTCAAAGTCTTCTTTCCCTCAGGAGTTTCCACAATAACCCAAGAGGTAGATTCATCCTGACCGACAGAAACAACCTTATTATTGAAAAGCACCTCAATATCAGGGTAATTCTTGAGATGTCCCTCTAGTACCTCATGCAGTTTGTTTAGAGGAAGGCAGATCATAGGGTGTTTTTCCTCTCCTGTTGGCCCAGGAATCATAGCCAGGGTCTCCCCATGAAGCTTGCGCCAGGATACCCCCGAAGGAAAGAAGCCACCCTTGGCTTTCATATCCTCAAAAACACCCGCTCTCTGTAGTTCCCGTACAGCAGTAGGGCCGTAGTGGGTAGCCCGTGGACGATCGTCAAATTTCTCTGCAGCTTCAAGCAATTGCACAGAGATACCTTGCTTTCCCAAAAGGAGAGCCAGGAGGATCCCACTGGGACCGCCCCCTACAATAATCACGAATGGATTGGTCATTTGGAACTCGACGAAATCCGATTGATTTTTCTGTGCGAAGCAGCTTTGACTCGTATCTGGGCATATACAAGGGAGTTTATATTATGTATTTATGAGGACCCCTCCATAGTATCACTATCTGGCTATGATGAATTACCCCACATTGGAATTTCTCTCCACTTTTTTCATATGGGGTTTGGCGAAACTTGCTGAATTAAGCTATTTCTCTATTTCATTTCGGTTTTACTCGGTCAAACCAACAAACAACTACACAGTAGGCTTCGATTACGATTGTAGAAATGTGAGACAGAAAAAGAGCTTGATAGTTCCTAGTTTCCGGATTTCATATATACCCAATGCAATCATCGCGTCTATTTCCAAAGCTATGCCCCTCAAAGTTGGATTTTTGCGTCCAAGTATGAACATGATATTCTGGCACAGATCCAATTTCAGCCATGTAGGATTGAACAGCCTCTTGCCGCGTGCTCCACGGATCTAACAATGGATCAAACATTTTCATGAGCGGGAAGGAAACTCCATCTGAGTCAGGTGCTTCTGAATTTCCTTGTAAGATCGAACCATGCGACGCCATGGGTGATGATAATAAGGGAGAGAGACTGTCATGGGGTTGGCTGCAACCGAAAAAGGCACCCGTAGGTTCCCCAATTGTTCCGAAAATGGCTGGTTTGGAGCCGACGGATGGGAAAAAGGCTTCACATTGAAGGAGGCGATCATAGGCGGAGATTGTGGCAGGATGATCCATAGTGCACGATATATCGAATGTTGGATTCCTTGGCGGCGACAAGGGACGATACAATCGAGCACCTGGTCGCACTATTTCTGTGGGTGCGCTGAATTCAGAGATGAGTGGGAATGTATTGGCATAGAAAGAGGAGGTGGAGTGCATTGGAATATTCAGCGGATGAATGTCAGGCTTTGGATCAGGCTGTTGTTGTGGCTCTCCATCGTGGTCAAATTTCTCATGCCGCTGTAAGGCATCTCTAGTTAATGGTCATTGGTCAGCACTTCACAACTAACTAGGTATAGGTATGCCGCTAACTCATTTTTCACAATGGATATAACCGGAGGGTGGGTAGAGTAGATACATACAGTCTGGAATAGCGCTTAGGGCAACCGGCACATTTGAATGGTCTTTCTTTCGTGTCTGATTTCTACTAGTCAGCTTCAGTTTCTTCAAGCGCTGACAAGACTAACGAGTTTTTTTGTGACGAATGCAGTGGCTGAATCGCTTGAAAGTCCTTTGACAGACTGAACAGGTGTGTTTTCGTGATCTCGGGAAGGCCATAATGTGTCTACGGGGAATTGCTCTGATTCCCAAACACAGAGCCAAAATGTGATATGCGATATGAATATACTGCTGTAAACTTGCACTTTATTTCTTATTGTTCTTCTATGCTAAGTTACTGTAATAATTTCAAAAAGAGCTTGAAAGTGGTTCCTTCCCCACCTTGATGTGGGGGAATTTCACGAAGTCTTAACGTCTAGATATCGTTCACGTGGCGGAGAAAATGGACTTGGTACGTCCAGCATGATACCTATGTATGCAAATATATATGTATGCATATTTGTAAATCCAATTTTCTCAAGGCATAGAGACATAGGGGAAAGCTCAAGGGGAGCGCACAGCATGTGGGGTAAACGTAGGGAATCTAGTGGGGATGTGGCGGTTTTGAAGGAGAGGATTTATACACCCCGCCACATTGGAGAGGATTCATGAAGTCAATAGATGAAACTTTTTTGATAAATACCCAAACAGAAATATTTTATGAGATCCAATTTTGAAAGGGGTAGATGGAGAGCAATATAATAGAACCAAAGAACCAAAACTTGTACTTTTCGTAGCTATGCATGTTATTAGGTCCATATAAACCGGACCCTTTTTCTAATTCTGTATGGAGCTTTAATTGCTTCAGCTGGAGAGATGGTTCGCTTACGTCTCCCAGGAAGGCTGACCATGCTTAGTTGGTAGCCTCAAACTCGAATAGGGTGACCACTGCAGTCCTAGCTCACTCCGTTAAAAGAAGATGGCACATAGCAGTCCCTCTCAAAGCATGGTAATGGAGAAGGTTGACAATATTCTCACATGCTAAATTTATAGACAACATCGCGGAACGTCCAGGGATGTTTATCCATGAAGGCAGTGGATGCAGGGACAACCAATCGGATAAATCTCCCCCGCAAAACAATCTTGGACGTTCATTAAATAGCCGCGGAGAAAGATTAAGCTCCTTCCCCAGGATCATGGATCTTTCTTCTGCTATACACCATATGTACAACTCTGGAGGCTTCATGAATGTAATCATTATGCCACCCCCGTCTCCAGATCATGCCCAATCAAAACGAAGATATCCTTGTCCCATGTGCTCGAAATCCTTTACCCGAAGTGAACATCGTATCCGACACGAGCGCAGCCGTGAGTCCACTCATATATATTCTTCTTATATCTCCTAACCCCTATACCACTAGATACGTTAGAGAAGCCATTTTCTTGTCGATACTGTCGTCGAAAATACGCCCGCCGGTAAGTACCGGATGCCGGATGCCGGATGCCCGATATATGCACAGCAAAATATAACTAATCGCGAGAAAAAGGGACTTGGTATTACGGCATGAAAAAACAATTCACAAGGACGAATACACAAAGGGAGCTTGCCGTAGAAAGAAAAATGTGCCTTCCGCGATAGACCCTATCACAGACCCCGCCCTAGGAACGGATGATATAGTGGAAGGTGAGTGCTTCGCTACCCCACTGTTTGAGCGGGTAACTGACCGATTATAAATTAGGGTCGCCTTCATCTTCCAGCCCAGAGATCACATCGCCACCCCAACCTGCTTCGTCAAATCAAAGCCACTGTGGCATCCTGACAGCACCTCCTGCCGCATTACCTACCCCCCAGCCTTGCTTAGATACGATTCTAATCGATGAATTAACCTCCATTGGTGGCCAAAATGACCAGAGAGAAACTTCCCAGCAATTCCTGCCTGATACTTCCACGGCGGCCAAAGAGTATGATATGTTTGAGAAAACACTTCAAGCCTCCGAGCTGAATCCCTCGCAGCCATGGAGCGCAATCCCCGGGTGTGAGTTGAGCGAAGCTCAGGACGAAACGGGGCCCTACTGGGCACTTTTTGGTATTTCTCCGCCGTTTGACATTACCGGTGGATTTGACCGACGCCCTTAAAACTCATTTCATTTGAATAACGCGGGCCGGGAAGCGCCTGCTTTTCTTCAAGAGCTTTCCCCACCCCTAGAGAACATGAACATTCAACCCGACGCTCTGCATGTCGGCCTTCCTACTGTGGTCATACCTGACCGTCCAAGAACTAAGCCTGTTATGTTCACGGAAGACATGCGACGGAATATAATATCCAATTTGCTGAATATAGGCTTTGATGCAAGTATAGCCACGGCTGTCCCGTCTGCGGCTGTGATTCAAAATTGCGTGCGTGGGTATTTCGAGCGATTCCACATCCATTATGTCCTCTTTCACCCACATACCTTAAACCTCAACCAGATGGCGAGCCCTCTCATCCTCGTCATATGCGCAATCGGGGCACTGTATCGACTGGACCGTAAACTATCGGCATTCTTAATTTGCATGGCAGAGAGAGCTCTTGATATGCTCTGCGTAAAGAGAGATGGCGGCGCAGCGACTCCATCATTCGAAGCGAACGCTACCAGGTCGTCGACCAGGCAAACCACGACCTCCCCGAAACCCCTTTGGGAGCTGCAGACACGAGTCTTGCTTGTGTTTGTCGCTGCGATTGGTGGACAATCAGCGTTTAGTCGAAAGGCGATCGATGGGATTGGTTGTAAGTCTTTTCAATCCTATACTACAGTGCACGCTGACAAGCTTGTATGTAGTTCTTGCTTGCGTAGGAGCTCCGAAAACTTCACGTAGTATGCACTTTGCTAATTTCTCCAGGAATATCGCATCTTAGCATCCTATCTATATCGTGATTCATGGCAGGCTTATGTGTCTTGGAATCAATGGATCGAAAGAGAATCCAAAAAGCGGTCAGTTTGCTGAGCGAAAATACGCCCAGGAGCACCATCTGACTGTCCCCAGGGTTCTTCATGCAATCCTTATGATTAGTGATATTCTATACACCGCCTTTCGCGTTCCTCCCGTTATTTCCATCGCCCAGGAATATGATGTCGATCTACCAGATGATGATGAACTATGGCATGCACCAACAGAGCTTGACTGGATGCTCATCACGCAAGCTAGAACACGAGATCCACTGCCAAGTGTGCGAAGTGCAGTTTCCCAGATATTGCACGGAGGATCTCCAGAAATAGGGCTCGTGTCGGATCAGTTGTCGCCGTGTGCTGTGGCTGTCATCATGCATGCCATATCCATACACACATGGCACCTGATACAGAGTGCCCAAACGTTGACAGGATTTGGGCTAAACCCGCATCCTGCCGAGGGCGTTCAAGACTTGCTCACCTCACGGATTGAGACAGCTCTTTCGCGATGTTACGTAATGATTTCTAATGCCCGAGCTGTGAATGAATCGACATGGAATGAGACCGAAGGTCCCATTTTATTCAATAGCCTGACCATGCTCCGGGGGATCCACATCCGGGTACTCACTGGTGTAGGTGGGCTTGACCGTATGGTCTTGCTGAGTGATGACGAGGAAGATATGGCGGCGGCGGTTAAAGACTATGTTGCTCAAAATTCGAAGTGGCACGCAGCTTCCGCAAAGACCGCTTGTGTGACCTTCGACGGTATTATGACGATTCTCAAATCTGACGCATTCCTGTTGCGCAAAACTGCTGCTTTCAACTGGGGCGTCGAGCATGCCCTGGTTGGCATTGATTGTGGTAAGTACGCATGTCTTTACTGCCCAAATACAGCTGGCTATTGTCACAAAGCCACACTCTCGTACAGAACGTGACCTAACCCTAGCGCCAGCAATATTCATAAGCAGTTGCATCCAGAAAATCCAACTCCGCCAAAAGCGACACGAGGATGCTAATCCTGCAGAATCAGAGCTTCTGAAGACGGCAACAGACCTTTTGGTGGACATGGAGCATGTTTCCGACGAACAAGAGTCACTTTCTGCAGGCATACTACGAATGTGGAAGCAGTTCTACGACGATATATGGGTCTGGGGAGGTAGGTTATGACCATCATCATGTTATTTGCTCGTCAAGCTAACCTATTGCAGTTACACCCCGGATTGCTCGGTTGTTTGAGAAACTCGCATGCGCTTATGATTTACAACTCGCTTCGGTTGGTGATGCCGATTGAATTACGACACAATGAGAAGCGAAGGGGTGGAATCCCCCTCCAGCCCATATCACTCGACGCCTAATAGTAGGAAGATTACTTCGTTTGGACTCGGTCTTCATAGTAACCGGGAGCGATGCGAGTATGGTCTCCATTGATATAAATGAGCGCAGGAAAGAAATTGGCCCAACCCAGGGACACTGAGAAACATTTTGCAAAATTTACCAAGACTGATGTGGCCTACGTTCAATGAAGCTTGTATTCCAGCTGTGGCGTAGGCCAAGTCACAGCAAGCTCTATTATTTGGTTCGTAGGTGGTCAATTCAACCAACCAATGCACCAATATCCTACTAACTAGGTCAAAACAATGATCGAGGAGATTTCCACAACCGATGAACCTCAGCATGAGTGATGCCAACAATTCTTCCTAAGGCTCAATCAACAGACCTGGCAGCAGGCAATGAACAGAACAATGTCAGCAATATTGATATTGGTACTATACTCGAGATTAGATATATGGGCAGAGGCTTATGCCAGACCTAGCAAGCAACAAAGAACGCAGTGGCAAATAACACCCAAAAGAATTGTAGATTGCCTTCAATCAAACTCGTGATATTTTGAAACTTTTCAACAAATGTACTGAGCCCTCTCCTAGTGGATGGCAAATTTCTCAGGTGGCACTGTCTTATAATGAATTCTCTCAAGAGATATTCCATCTCATGACTGTCTTTTGACACAAGAAAATATTTCATATGACTAGAAACTTCGAAGCTCTAAGCTCTAGTGCCACACCACATGAAAACATTCCTAAACTGTTGATCTTTGAAAGACTATCTCAAAAAGATCCATGTAGACTAAATGTCACAAGACAAATTCATTTCAACCAAGTCTCGAAGGACTTTCCAACTACTACATATGTTCATAAGATGTATAAATATGACATCTATATACTGTAGACACCTATGTATAAAGCACGTTCCTATAAGCAGCGGCTAACCGGATCCAAATATGAAAACTGACAACTACCGATTAAAGTTTCAGCCGGGGGTATATTTGCCGGCAAAAAGGAAAGAACAGCCCACCCGCACATCTGTTGAAAGTGGCAACCGAAATTTCGACGTTGGGAAACCATCTGGAGAAAAGGTACCATTTCGGCTCCGAACCGAAAAATACTAGTGTGCATACACGTAAGTATTTTCAAAACATCCGGCAAATGGTACACTGTATACCCGAAGGAACGGTCACGTAACGGGACGACCCGCATAGAAAATAGAAATTAATTTTTATATTACATTTTTATATTGGCCCCCGCTCCCTAGAACTGTAATATGATGTCATATGGCTTGCGTGTGCATGTCGGAGATTTAGTTATCCGAATGCATGTAGGACGTATTTTGTGTTATGTTCTATGTCGTTTGCAATGCTGAATTTATGGAACATGTACGGAGTAGGTTGTAGTAGGACCTTGGAAGTCACCTGAGCAGTGAAGAACATTATTATGTAATGCAGCTAAATACCTATATAGGTAAATAGCCCACAAAATACATGTACTGTACAATATATATGGCAAGTAATGTACTATATAGGCATATTGCAGCTGCGGTACGGAGTACACCTTTCTAATTTTAGGGACGTTGTATATTATACATTCCCTCTTCAACACATGACTCTGTCTCTAACTTTCTTCACTACATATGTTGTACATATAGTTGCCACTACAGTGATCATCTCTAACTGCAATCATACCTAAAGCCTCCACCACACCACACCTACATTCTTGTGCAACAAGGCAAGAATCTCAGTCAAAAGGCCGATTGCATATCTTCTAGTGGAAGTGATGTTCAACATCTGCAGCTATCCATCTATAGTCCTTTAAACAGTAAAAGTTTAGATTATCATGCTATAAATTGCATTAAGACTTAATCAGTTCTTCAAGGATATTCCCTTTATTCTGTATACTACACCCCGATCTATCCAATATACATTGTAAGCATGATTGGTCTATCGAGATATACATATACAACCCAAGCAGATTTAAACAAGAATTTAACAAGGTACATAGACGATCTCGATAGGGTTTCCATAGATTTAATTTGTATCCGCCGCTAATTCAGGGACGTGTTTGGTTTTGCTATACGAACTAGTTTGAAATCCGATATTCGGCAATCTCGTTGTAAACTCGGGATTGTGTTTCTTATCAATATAGGAAAAAAAAAGATCTATCAAAACGCCTAGAGGCTAGTATTTATCTAAGTAATGTAAGTTGTGATGCCCAGATCTATACGGAGATATCTACTCGATATGGATATAGCAATGACGTATCGCTGAAAGAGACCAGATCAAATAAGGAAATAAGATGAAAATTTCCCCTAATTTGGTTGGTACGGAGTAATACTCCAGATCTAAGCATCAAAATGGATACGGATACGACGACTCCATCTCTCTCTGATCTCCAGGGCTGGAAGATCACAACCACAAAGAGGAATTGATACATCTGCTGTCCAACTGATCGATACTAGTACTAATCGTCGCAATAGGTACATATATACGGAGTAGATATCTGACAAAAAAAAGCCACGAAAAGAAAGAAAAAAAAGCCCCCGAGTCATGTACCATAACGATCTCGAAATGGGCGTTTTTCCCGATCTGAAGACCTGATAATACGTCCAACCCCCCGATACGGAACAGCCACTGAAATTGCGACCCAAGGGAACCCTTCAGACTCCCGACGACTCCCGAGCCCGAAAGCCACCTGCGTATTGGGCTGACAGGAGAGAAAGGACAGTTCCTCCAATCAAAAAATCGATATAAACCCGAAACAGCGGTTGCTGGATCTTCCCTGCCCACTTAGACAAACCATAGTGACGAGGGGGGTTTAACCAACCGTGTTCCTGGGAACCTGGGGTCGAACCTTGGGACGTCATTTTGTTGATTTTTTTGTGGCGGAAGCCACTGTAAGCCACCACACGAGTCCGTGGTCCACTATGTTGATGTGGACTGATTTGTGGATCGCGAGGCGTCAATTTCCTTTATGGTACATCCGTTCCCCAAACATATTTTCTACTCAATTTAGGGGGGGGGGGAGGGGGGTTTAAGTGTCTATCAGTCTCGGATAATGGTTTCAAGTGCCAAGAACTCATTATTAAACGTATGATTGTTCCAAGGTTCTAAGGTGCCAAGGGTTGCATTGCTGCTAGTGGCGTTTTGGTGTGGCTGATGGCGTTCAACAATTCGAATACTACATTGAATCTTGTGCTCAAGCTAGAGTAAGGTACGACTTCTACGTGCAAGATCACAATTGAGGTAGCAAGGTCATCGTATTCTGTACCTGCACCGGAGCGGCTGACTTGTAGTCCCATCCCATCCCCCGACTATCTAATCAAATGATAAAGCCTGTATATAAGCATACAGACATAGACATGAATAGAGACCCCAGAAAAATTTAAACGCTCAAGGCTGGTAAAGACCAGCAACCAACAAAAAAAAAAAAGAAAAGAAAAAAAAAAAAAAAAACAAAGGGTATCAACCTCGTATGCTCGGTTCTCGACCAGATCGAAATAATAAACCATAACAAAGACATCAATACTTCCATGACCTATCGACTCATATACCGTCGTAGACAGTGGATAAGCAACGCTAAAATCAAACAAAAAAAAAGATGTGTCAATAAAAAAAGCAAAAATATAATGTAACAGGTTATCGCTGCTCGGAGACTCGTTTATTATCCCCGTGTTCAACGCCTGTAGAAGAAGAGGTGAATCCCAGCCCATTGAGAGACAATATATGAGAACATGGAATGAAAAGATGAGTAACTGGTGCTCTGAAAGAAAAAACTCGTGCGTTGTAGATCAGAGCTGAAAGAACACAATGGCTAGCAATGCCAGATGGAGTAAGGCGAAAAGAAATTTACTTTTGCATTATGTTTGAATTTCAAAGCCCGGTGGACATGGCCTTGAAATGTAGGGCTTGCAGGTTCAATAGGTTAATTTTAGCTCCACGGGAGATCCTGGTGTGCCAGAAGCATTGCCGTTGGGACCTGATGCTTCGGAGATGTCGAGGATCATGTCTTGACCCTCTGGAAGATGACGGACCACATCGTCATCCATTAAGACTCGCATACCTTTCTCATTGGCATGCAGGATATTTGAGATTCGCATCGGATCGATCTGGTATTTCTCGGTGATTTTTCTGACAAGGTCTCGAACGGTACGCTCCGTCAAATAGATTGCACGGTAATAGTCATCTGAACGTTTCGCGTTTCCAGTGAATCGAATATAGAAGCATGCAACTGAGAAGGCAATTAGTAAGGAGATTAATGATCAGGGTTGCTCGAAAACTTACTCGGCTTGGGAGGGCGTTCCACCGGAGGTCGGTAGGCCAAGTCTACACCCACGGCTTCTATGAAGCCCCTTGAGACTTGGTCGCTAGAAGAAATTCTCTGGATGGTGGTTGGGCAGTTTCCTAATCTGAGTGCTTGGGTAGGCGGCGAATTCGAAGAAGAGGTATTGGTGTTAGGCGGCGAAGGCATCATCGATTCTAATTCGCGTGTGCTTGAGCGACTCATATTCGTATAATGAGGGGAATCGCCCTCACCTGATAACTGAATGGGATATAGATCGGGATCGTCGAATTTTTCACCACGTAAGCCGAAAATGCTCACTGAGCGAGTAGAGGAGAACATCTCCTGCATGCTAGCCAACTTGGCCTGGAGATCATCCTCCAAGGAAATTTTCTCTGGGGGAGCGTCGTCCGAGTCTATCGACCAAGTCCGCTTGTGGTTCAAACTTTTGTCAGATCCCTTTGTGGTAGCAGAAAGATTGTTTCCCCGTTTGCGCTTGGCAAATCCACCCCCCATTTCTGCCTGGGAGACTTGCTGCTTAAGCTTATCGATGGTCTTCTTGACGTGCGCGATGTCGTTGGACAGCTTCCGCTCGGCACCGTGATCCCGGAAAAGCTTTACTTTGCAGTAAGACAACTCCATATCGCGCGGTACGCCTGTCTCCTCGCCTGGTGATAAAAGCTCGGTTTTGGCGCACAGTCTAACTGGAATTCCCTTCACACCTTTGGAGTGGCTGAAATCGGTGGAGAGGAAATTAAACCGCACGGGGATGTTGCAATCCGATAAGCCGGTCGCTGGGTTGACAGTCCAAGTGACACAGAACCCGTCGACCGTCATACTCTCGACTTGGACCTGTCGGTGCCTGTGGGCATCACTGCCACCTTGTAAAGGATCCACATATTCAACAGCTAATAATTTCCCACCCCGTTGATGGGCTTCTGTCGTACCACGGCCTTCCTTCCATAGTTGCCAACATGTTGACGGTTTCGCTCGTTGTTCTTGCTCTTCAAAGGAAATGCGGACAAATGTTCTGTATCGAAGGGTTTCGTGGTTGATCATTGGGGGAGTTGTGTCGGTAACTGTAAGGTTGTATGCTTGGCCCTTATTGAGATAGGTAACGGGGATTTCACTTAGGTTTTTCACCATGGCGGTTGGTGCTCGTAGAGAAACACTGAATCGGAATCTAGAATGTAATAAAAACACGGTTAGTATTGACCAGAAATACCTTCCCCCTCCCCCTTTTTTTTATCAAATCATTCAACTCACTTTTCACCCTTGGCATAGGACATGTCACCAGCCATTTGAGCCGGAAAGTCTGTCGAGGCCGTCACGTTGGATGCAGTTTCGATATGTGCATCATTCAGGGAAGAGTCGTCCAGAGTATCGTCCATGGCGTCGTATCCGGTGTCGCGGTGCATGAATGCGCTTGGTGCATATGACGGTTGCTGTGCGTATTGGTTCATGTCATGCATTGGATTTATGAACTGCGGGTGGAAAGGCTCAAAGCCATGGCTGTGGTGATTGTGTACAGATGGCATCCCTGACAGTGGAGTGATCAAGTGCATCCCTGTTGGCGTATGCAAATCGCCTGCTTGATTATGGAACATTGCACCCATTCCACCAGAAGTTGGAGTGTAAAATCCTGAATGCTGGTTGACAAGAGGCATCATGGAATACGAAGCGGATTCCATCCATGAGGGTGTCAATCCCAGTTCTTGCATATTTCGAGGAGTGCGGTCGTTGTTGGTGATAGGGAACTTCATATTATGAGTCTCCATTTTCACATCGTTGTTCTCGGCCATCCTATTCGAATTGCTTTGTCAGTTCTAATCTCATCCCTTTTACCTGGTAGAGTAGATGATGTACACACCTTGCGGCCATCATAGGTTCAGCTGCCCTCACATTGTGCAAGGTTTCGGTTGACGCACTCTCACTGTCTCGTCGAGGGACAATTTCTGAAAATGCTTGCTGGAAGCGACTGATGAACTCACCGTCTGGCTTCTGAGCGTTGTTCCTATGCAGAGAGATAAAACGTTAGAGATAAAAAGCATTATAGAACTTGGAACGTAAAAAGAAACAACTTACCGGCTGCTAAACATTGGGATTTATTTTATCAATGCCTCACGTGTAAAGGAAAGAAACAAAAAAAAAATATGGCACAGCAAGTCGTGGCTCACGGCCAGTAGATTTGGATGTGCTCTGGTCTTGAGTTTCAAAGACGTGGACGAGAACGTAAGTGGTCGTGGAATATCGTTGGGAAAGTGTTGGGATTGCCGTAGTATGCAGTGTTCATCCGAAGCCTTTCAAGCAAAATGTTCTAGAGGAACTTCCTCTAAATGTGTAAACGACTAGGATGTGAAATTTGGAAGTACGAAAACGGAAGATCAGGGTCTAGATCAAGGGGGGAGGAGGTGAAGATATAAAAAGTCCACAAATTTCAAAAATAGTAATGGAGTATTTTTCCTGAGGTCCTTCCCATAGGGGATTGGAGGGAATGATATATATAATTGGAGAGAGAGAGGGGTGGAAGGAGGGGAGAGATGACGATCGTGTTTAAGGGAGGGGAGAATGGAAAGGAATAGTCAAGATGGTACGGTCAATGACCCTCCAATGAAAGATCCATGAGGGATGCCACATAAAACTGTCATCCACTGAGCCACACTTCTACAAAAGTGGGGCTGGAACTCGGAAGATTTTAGGAGAGAAAAGGCCCTGGGAGACACCGGGAGCTGTCGCCACCAAGAAAAACTGATAAGGACAGGGGCCACATGGAACCAATAGACAAAAAAACAGAGCATTGAAAAAGAAGACCTTTTGAGATAGAAGGCGTTTTTTTCATTTCTTTTTTCATTTCAATTTTATTTTTTCATTCTCGTTTCTCTTCAAAATAACCTCAAATGGTCGAAACTTCCAAATAAATTCTATACAATTTTTTTTAGAGCTATAAAATGATTGGTAACAGGGGATTGCCGAGCCACGGAAAGCCTGCAGGTATAAGTGGAGCGAAAACGAAGTGTAAATTTACATTGTAATCAATATTTCATCCCTTACGCCTAAGTATTTTAAGTATACATGTAGTACTATACATGTATGCAATATATCACACTTGATCCTTTCAGTCCAAACAGTTACATAGTAGCGCCACAATATGTGATCCATGGTCTCTATTTCTAGCATATAATGACTACATATGTTATATGTACGGCACGTGTATATTGTAGGGCATCCCCAGTGTTAAACATATATATTGTGTCCGGCAAATTAGAAGGAAACATTTCCCATTCTTAGGTAACATAACTTACTTGGAATAGCAATTTGATGTTGGGTGTAAGTAGTAGTGAAATATATGCTATTTAACTTTCTATACAGAGTATGGAATACATGTTGCAATTGCATAGCCTTTGTCTAATAGTATAACCATCATTCATTATGTGAGCCTTCAAATTCGTGGCTGAAGTACAAAGTATGTTGTGCAATATATGCGCTGTTAGGATATATGAGGTCAGACTTTGGAGATATATGTGGCTGTGATATTGACAAAGGACTGAATGTGGAACTGTGAATCTCGGGTAGTTAAATGTGATAGGTGGCCGGCCCGACCGGACCTACACCAGAACTCACGTTCTTTGGTTCAACGTGATCATAAGATTTTCCATTAGAATCCATTGGTTGGGCCCGGGTATCTGGCAATTGAATCTGTTGGATGTTCTCCTACCAAAAGTTCGGATTTATGTCGATGACCTCATCTTCGGTCCCTCGCGGCTCAAGGAGGACCCATGGGAGAGTATTGGCCCTAATTAACCATCGAAATAATTAAGTAGTTCCTTTTTCATGCAGCGTTAAAACTATTCTATACCAGGGTGGCGTCTATTACTTTACAATTATACAATTTACCAACATAGTTTTATAACGGCCATAGCTTCGAAGGGTGTGTGATTTATACTTGGCGGTACGGAATGTTAACCTGTCAGACAATTAAAATACAGCCACATACCATGCCAAAACAGCCCGAGTCAACACAGCTCATTGCTGGAAGGCCCACCCACCAGTAAGATTACTCAATTTATGCTAGGACGATCGGTGGAGCACGTGCTGCAAATACAATTTACCATACAATACTAGATAAAGATCCACTTGCCATGGATAACCCTCCTTTAAGAAATTGTAAATTACTAGCCTAACGTATGAAGCTACCTAACCTCCGGCTCATTGTACATCGAGGTGCATAAACACCCCCAATCTTATAAGAGCAAATAACCGAACACCGAACGCCTTTCTCCACCTACATCACCTAGAGTCCAATTAGAGTTGACGTAAGGGGATTCATTCCGCGAGATTTACTATAGCAGTGTAACAGTGAAAGCCACACCGTCATAAGCGAGACGTCTTTTTCACTGATATGACAGGGGAGGACTTGGACGCTAGCTGTGTTGGAAAGGCCACATCTATAGTTGAGTAAAAAAAAACAGAAAAAAAACAGAAAAACAGAAAAAAAAACAAACAATTTGAAGGTGTAACCAACTATGTAGGATCATTAGTTCATTGAAATCAATCGGAAACTGTAACTGTATAGAATATACAACCGATTATTGGTCGATCTAGTGTTGATAGGAGCATCGAGATAGGAGATGCTAAGCCACATAGGAGTACAGAATACCGAATATGTTGTACAATTTATCTAAGGTCAGTTGAGCTGTAGCGCTGATCGGTTACATCATTCGCATGGGGGTACAATCATGAGCTTCTATGTTGTATCCATAGATGTTTTGCATGGAGTACAATACAGGGAGTATGTTGTACGGGCGGTTGGTCAAGCGCCTAGTGCGTAAATGCACGAAGTGTGTAACAAAGTAGGCAAAGTAAGCGGCTGAATTATCCACACTGCTCCGTACTCCGTCAACCAATCCACAAAAAGAAAACAGAATAATCCCCCGAAAAAGAAAGTCAAATGTGTACAAAGTACATCGGAGATCGGCAATATGGGAAGAGGGGTGGATCTACTGGTGCTGAATAGCCAGTCAGGCCAGAAAACGGGCTTGCCACCTTGATCTCAGGCATCCGGGGGCTCTTTGATAAATGAAACCAAATGAAATGCCACGGCACAGCTTACGCAGCTTTGCATTTCCTCTCTCGGGGGGCCATTACTCTCAATGGTACGTGCGTTCCACTTTCTCAACTTAAAATGAATTGAGGTGTTCAACTACAACGTACAAAGCAGTACTTTGTACATGAATGAACTATGTACATCTGTAGTAATCCGTACTTGTACCTTGTACTCCGTATTCTGTCCGCATTTGAGGTTGATCCCGTTGATCCTCTAAATATTCAAAACCCATTGGCTCTTTGCTTAGCCTGCCGCTTGTGTGTCACGTTCACTGTCTCTGTACTCGGAGAAGGATATGCACTCTATGACGATTTCCATATCATTGGCTCTGTTGTTTTCTCCGAGCATTCCAATGTTCACTCCGGGGCCCCGGGCCGACTTGTGAGTCCCGAGAGATTAGTGATATGACCTTTTGCCGTCTTGTCTTTCACTCCATAATAACGTGGAGAATAGTCCTCGTCTGGATTGGCTGACTGCCGTTTCCGTCCAAGGTGAATATGTACCGAAAGACATCATGATAGAAGCTACAAAGTACGGAGAACATCGTACAAAGTACCTACTTTGTATGACGGCTCTGGCCTAGGGTATTGGTTATGGGTGATTTTCCCGGCAAATCTTTTGACCCCATCTCTATAGTGAAAACTCTATTTTTCCAATGTGCAAAAGGCTCCTTGCTTCTTTTCTACTCGAGGCCCTGGATTCAAGGACCCATAGTTCGCACTGGTACGTTGCTTTCTGGTGATATATGTTGTACTTGCTAGAGTTAGGACGTTGCATTGTGTTTTCCAACGTACATATGTATTTATAGTATGTTCGAACCTCAATAGCTAACACGAGGTAAGGTTGCATGTACAAAAAAGTATATGTATTAATAAACAATAAACGATAAACCAAATACATATACTCGGTAGACTTTCCAGAAAAAAAGGGGACATTGGCTGCTATGTACTCCGTATCACCGAGATTATTAGCGTGAGAGGTCAAGTTTGTTAAAGAGGCGGAGGTTGTTCAGTGTTTTCGATCTATCAAAATTTCCGAATATCATGTTGTTTTTGAGGGACGATTTTCACACTAAATTGTGCCTCGAGGACTCTGGCTACGTAATGTAGAAACCTATCTGTTCAGGAGAGTATCCCCCGACCTGTTGATACCTTAGTAGCTAGTCGATTATTTTACGTCTACACGGTTGGCATTGATTTACTCTTTGGATCACTATGCTTGAACATTGATGGTGGTTTATGATATTACTCTATGAACTATCCAACCAATATGAATGATGCTCCCCTTTACAAGATGGTCCGGAAGTGCTGTGTGGCCATCGGCATGCTCAATGATTATCAGTAAGTGTAGTCCCATGCACCCGGGACCTGTATCGACCGCGTCTAAGGTCGAAGAAAATATCACCATGCATACATGCAACCCCAACACCCATGACGCCGATGTGTGACGGGGGAAAAAAAAAGGGAATAAAACAGAAGAAAAGCTATAGACACAAACAAAATCCGACAGAACCTCGTGTATGTAGTGGCCAATGGCCGGTTCTGGACTGCGGAATTGCCTGTTCCCAGATTAGGGATGAAAAGAGAGTAAAGATGCAAGAATATGCAAGGCTCGATGGCCGTTTAGAGATGAATGAATGAGAAGGATGCCCTGCAGTCATTCGCAGTTTGCCATGTTGAACCATGGCTGACTGGGTTTGCGACTAGCTTCAAGGCGTAGACATAAGGACGAGGAGCTAGCTGCGAGAGCTAGAGAAGGAATGTAGTAGATGGCGAATTGCTATCAGTGCTGGATGATCAATGAGAATCCATCAACCCATGATCCACAGGAGCCAGAGATTCCAGCAATCTTGTAGCCTAAAGGAGGTATTAAAGTGTGGCTGTTTCAAGTTGGTTAGCAAGCTTCGAAAATTACGAGAGAATAAAAGAGAAATACATACCCTGAGCCACCGCTGGGATTTCCATAGATACCCGACTTTCTCCCCAGACTAGTGAG